CCCCAAAACCCCAAAACCCCGGCCATTGCTATTCAATTAGAAGAGTTCTGATAGATTAGAATTAGTATGTTAATTTAATTAATTATAGTTGTTAAATTTACTGGTCATTTCAAAGTCAGTAATCTTCATATCTAAGATGGAGGTCCAGAGGCAACTATAGTTGTTGGATCTGAGAAGGGTCCCCATCCCCATTTGTTTTCAGCTCTGACTTTGAACTTGTAAGAAGCTCCTGAAGTGATTCCAATACCGATGATGTAGCTAGTGCCAAGGTACTTCGAGTTCTCTCCAACGACGCTTCTCCAGCTATCGTAGCCTTGATCCCAATACAGATTGTAAGAAACAATGTCAGATCCTCCTGTATTGGTCAATGTTAGAGCAACCCACTCAATCTGTATTCTTCTAGTATTCGTTAGTGATCCCTCGGTGGGCTTTGCCATCTAGAGTGGCTCAGTCTAGATCTAAGGGCCTGAGGATTCTCCTGAATATTCACTCCAGCCTCTTTCGTTATGTGCTCTTACTCTTGCAATCACATATGCTAGGTATTCTAAGCTAAATTAAGTTCTAAGAGAAGTCATTGGAATAAGGCATATTTTTGTTGATACGATCGCAGTATCTGAACCATCACAGTGCACAAGATCTTCATAGAAGGTGCCGTTCTTAGCTTTGAACTGAACTTAAAATGTATCAATTGGTCGATAGTTAGTATTCAAGGGCTCATCCCAAGTAACTTAAACATATATTCCATTCATAATAAGTGTAGGCGCGGCAGGAGTCGAGGGCTTTTACCCAGCTACAACTGTTATGACATTTGAGAAGGCTCCTGGTCCATACTTGTTTATGGCTCTTATTTTGTACTTATAGTAAGCTCCTGGCACTAAAGGAGTCTGTTGAGAAGCAGTTGCAGATGGAGAAGTCAGTTCTGCTTGAATAAAGTCTGAAGTAGTATTATCATAGACCATCACTTCATAGTTGTTAAGTGCAATTCCTCCAGTCTATACTCCAACTACCATCTCATCCCATTGCAAGTAAATCTTAGTATTGTCTGAATTCGCCACATCATATCTTAAATCAGTCATTTGCTAGGGCTCTGTCTCAATAACAGCTCCTAATATATTCAGTTGAGATAAGGCTGACCATCCATTCAAGTTGTGTGATTGCCCTTTAACTGCTATTAGTGTGCCTAAAGGTTGGCCAGTCAGGGTTCTGATTGTACTCATTGGAATATAGCAATAAAGTAAAGTTTCATCATCACCTCCACAGTTAGTTGAGTCTTCAACATATTCACCATCTGACTTTAACAGTAAGATCTTATATTCATCAATAGGTTCATAACTTTCAAATGGCTTAAGCCAAGAGATCTTAACTTTGTTAGGGTAAACATTATCAATAGTTGTAGTTAGAATCGCCATGATTTGAGGCACATCAGATGCTTCAATATTAGTGATTTCAGAGTAGTCTCCGAATCCATATATGTTTCTAGATCTCAGCATAAACTTGTAGAATTATCCACCTGTGAGACCGTTAACAGTGAACTGAGTGGCAAGCGAATCTGTAAGAAGATAGATAACAGAACCAGATCCACTATCCCATCTCAGCTCATAGCTTAGGATTGCTGAGTTTCCTGTATCATCACCAGTAAGTGCTGTCCATGATACTTTAATTGAATCGATATTTCTAGATGCCAGTACTGGCAAATTCATTTTTATTGGAATTCTCCTTACTAATGCCCCTATCGTGTTCTCTGGTGATTGAGACTGCTCACCAAATTAATTTGAAGCTGAAACTTTAGCTTTAATTACTTGTTAAAATGCTAGAGAATATGGAAGGTCTGTAAAGACACTCATTGGAATGGCACATCTCAATGTTGATAGCATGATTGCCTGGTTTGCTGTACCACAATATGCTTGATTAATAGTAAAGGAAGAGTAACCAGAGTTTCCGATGTAGACTTTATATGAGGTAATAGTATCTCCTCCGTTATGAGGAGCTGTCCATGTTATAATAACCATACCTGTGGTCTCATCATTTGAGGTTGTTGGTGCAGACATTATGAAGGGTTTATTAGCTGCCTTCACTGTACTTGGCAAGGAGTAGTTACCCCATCCATAAATATTTCTAGCTTTTACCTTGAATCTATAGTCTCTAGAAGCTATCACACCTGTGGTCACAGTGTAATCCATAAGAATTGAGAAAGGTGTGATTCCAAGCAGGTCGTAATACATAAATCCTCCAGTACCTTGATCCCATTAAAGGTTATAGGAAGTGATATCAGAGTCTCCATTCTATGGAGTTGATAAGGCTGTCCACTGCACCTTAAGGTTTCTTTCATCTGTGGTGTCTACTCTGGTTGGAGATGCCATTTGTAGTGGTATGGTCTTTACAGTGGTAAAGGTTGTGGACATTGCTGAGTAGTCGCTCCATCCTCTTGAATTATGTGCTCTTACTTAGGCTTTGATTGGTTTTGTAACTGTCAAGCCAAGTGCTGCTTCTGCTGTTAAGTCAATCATTTGGAAGATACAGAATGAATTCTAGACTACTACAGCTAGCTAGCCATTGCAGAGTGAAGTAACTTCAATGAAGCTAGAACTATCAAAATTGCCTATACGAATTTGATACTGATCAATAGTGGCAAAGTTTGATGTTGGAGGAAGCCATGATATTTTCACATTAGCCACTGAGTCACTTGTATCTGGAGGTGATGGGGCTTCAGGCTTTTGCTGAGTTTAGGTCTAAAGAGGTGTGGCCGGATAAGGACCTTGACCATGAATATTGACTGCTGCAATTTAAAATTTATAAAAGACTCCTCCAGTTAACCCATTCTTCACGTAAGATGAGACTGGTGCAGAAAGAGTGACTAAGGGATCCCATGCAGAGTTTACTGAATTCCATTATTAGATTACGTATTGCGTGATAGGAGAATCTCCTGTTAAGGATCCAGTTGGTTCAGTCCAAGTTAGCTTAACAGTGTCAAGATCTGAGTTATCTTCGTCTACATAAAAGTCTGGCACAAGACCTGGTTCAGTTTAAATGGTTCCTCCTTCGTAGTTAACTTAACTATATTGACCAAATCCATTTGAATTATGAGCTCTGATGATAGCTTTAACAATGCTTCCATATACTAAGTTATAAGTATTGCCTCTAAGAATAGTCATTGGAATTTCACAGAATCTATCATCTTTAAATGCTTAAGCAGTGCCATCACAGTATTAAACATTAGCAGTATATGTAGTTCCATCACTTTTTTGAATTCTCAAGTCATAGTAGTCTATGGTTGCGCCATTTGAAGATGGAATTGTAAATGAAATCTTTATGTACTTTGGAGTGCCTGTGGTTGAGGTTTATACAATGCTCATCTACTCAGGAACATCTGAAGCCGTGATTGGAATTGGTTCAGAATATTCACCCCATCCATAGATATTTCTAGCTCGTAGCTTAAATGTATATGAGATGCCAACTGATACTCCTGCTGAAATTAGATAGGATGTCTGAGTGTATGGATTAGCATTACCAGTGAGATCTTTGGTAACTGCTCCTGAACCAGCATCCCATACTAAATGATATGAAAGTATCACAGAGTCTCCATTATTTGGACTTACTAAACCTACCCAGGTAACATTAATGCGATTAGTTGTGGTATTGATTCCTCTTTAAGGATCTCCCATTTTATGAGGAACAGTCCTTACTCTTTCACCTACTGTATTGACTGCTGATACTATCCCATATCCAATGATGTTTCGTGCTGAGACTTAGACCTTAATTAAATCTCCTTGAGCTAACGAGTATGGTGTGTTAATGAATTCACTCATTGGGATGATACAGTATCTCGATGTAAGCACTGCTGCAGTAGTACCATCACATGAGGATGTTGAATACCAATTCGACATAAGCTTGTTCTAAATTTCTATCAAGTATCCTGTGATTGGATTTCCATTGTTTGCAGGTTAAGACCAAGATATCTTCAGTCCTCCTGTCTCTGGGTCAATTATGAATGTAGGTGTAAGCATTTAAGCTGGCGGCTCTGAAGCTCTTATGGTTGTAATATCTGAGAACTTACCCCATCCCCACATGTTTTGAGCTCTTACTTTGAACTAATAGTCTTAGCCAAGGATTATACTTGAAGTCACTGTTAATTATGTTTGAAGATAAGGTCCATTAACTTCTCCAATGAGACTGAACCAAGAAACTCCAGAACTTCCAGCATCCCAGTAGACATTATATGAGGTCACTACAGATCCTCCATTGTTGGAGGAGTCAAGGGCAACCCAATCAGCTACTATTTTCTTTGATGTAGTTAATGTGTTTCTTGTGGGTTTTGCCATTTAGAATGGTTCTGTCTACACAAGTGCGTTAGTGGTGCTAGCACTGGAGAAGTCACCCCAACCTCTTTCATTTCTTGCTTGCACCATAGCTACTACCTGCTACCCATATTCCAGATAATACTGTTGCGTCCTCAGAGCATTCATTGGGATCTCACAATACAATTGATTAATTACAGTAGCTTGCAGTCCATCACAATTAGTTGTGTTCTCATGGAAAATTCCTGTGACTAGATTCTTGACTTTAATCTTATATCCATCTATTTACTTGAAGTTAGAATTTCCAGCTGTCCAAGATATCTTAACATTCATGTTATTTACTGCAGTAATGACATTGATAGGAACACTAGGCATACTAAAGGTAAAGAATGTAGCCTCGAGTGAGTATTCACCCCATCCAATATCACTATGAGCTCTGACTCTAAATTTGTAGTTTACAGATGATGACAATCCTTATTTGATTATACTTGTATCAAGCGTATAAAATCCATCCATTCCAGCTAGTGGTGTCCAAGTGCCACCATTTGTACCTCCGTCAAATGAGATTTCATAGGAGTCTATGTCTGCACCTCCAGTTTAAACTCCAGTCAGCTAATTCCATAATACTTCTAGCTATGAAAGGCTGTTATCAGTGCCAAGGAATGGTGTTGTCATTTGATAAGGTTTAACTCTTATTAGAGCCCCTTCTGTATTAGCCTAAGAGTAGTCACCAAATCCAATAGAATTTATTGCTTTAACTTTAACTACAACTAACTAGCCCTACATTAATCCGTATGTAGTAATGAGAATCGATAGCGGAACTGAGCATGTTTCATCATCTTTTATTGGGGCAAGAAGTCCATTGCAATTCAAAGTTTCTTCTCGCCAAGTACCATCTGCTTTCTAAATGAGAATTTGATATCCTATTATTGGATCACTATTGTCGTATGGTTCATTCCAAGTTATATCAATATTAGTTCCCTCATTGGAGGTTGTTACAACTAGTGGGGCATCTGGAACATCTGAAGATTCAATCGATCTTTCAGAAGAGACTGGACCAAATCCATAAATATTCTTTGACTACAACCTGAACCTAAAAATTTTGTTAGCTGCTATGTTAGTAGAGACGATATAAGATAAATCGAGAGAGTTACTAGGATAGCCAGATAAATCCTACCAAGAGCTGAGGCCTTAATCCCACTCAAGTCTGTATGATAAGATGACTGAGCCTCCAGTATCCGAATCTGTTGTCTAAGCATTCCAAACTAAATGTATCTGCTTTTCACTAGTCTCAGAACCTCTAGTTGGAGCATTCATTGCAGCTGGGAGTGTTCTTACTGTGGCACCAGCTGAATTTTGATCTGAAATTGTGCCCCATCCATTGGTGTTATGTGCAGTGACTTTTGCAACTACCAAATCTCCTCTAGAGAGAGAATATGGGGTGAGTATCAAAACTGACATTGGAATTGAGCATATTCTATTGGTAACTACTACTGCATCTGTTCCGTCACAGTAAGTTTGTTCTTCAATGAAGAGAGTAGTTAGCTTGTTTCTGATCTGAATTAAATACTTGTCAATTGGACTGTTTCTGTTGTTAGGCTCATCCCACTGAATGATAAGATTCCCATTTGCAGAAGAAACCGAAGTATAAGGAGCGTTGGGCTTTGCTGGAACTGAAGATGCACTGATAGTTGTGGGATCTGAGAATCTTCCATATCCCCACTTGTTCTTTGCTCTGATTTAGAACATATAGTTGGTTCCAGGAATGACACTAGTTGAAACTGTAAAAGTAGTAAGAGTGTAGTCAGTTGATTATCCTGCAAGGTTGTACCAAGTGCCGCCATTAGTGCCCTGGTCCCATTATAAATTGTAATTAGTGATAACTGAGCCACCATTGCTTGGTGCTGTTGATAGTGATAACCAGTTTACTTGAATCTAAGACTAAGAAGTTAAAGCACCTTTGGTAACTGGGGCCATTTAAGTCGGTTCTATTTGTATAGTGACTCCTGAAAGATTTGGAACTGATGCCTGACTCCATCCATTTCTATTGAAAGCTGATACCTATGCTTCAATTAATCTGCCATAAGGTAGATCAAAGTTTCCTGTAGTAAGATACTGCATTGGGATAAGACAGTAAAGTTATGAGAATATGAGCAAATCATAGCCATTGCAGTAAGTGGTGTCTTCAATAGGATTGCCATTCAGATCATTAATAGTTATCTTGTAGCCCTAAACTGAGGCATAGTTAGTCTGGGCAGGTGCATTCCATTTGATCTTAACATTCAAGTTGTCTACTGTAATTGTTACTGAATCAATTTAAGAGGTAACATCACTTGCAGTGACACTAAATTCATCTGAGAATTCACTCCATCCATGAATGTTGTTAGCTGCAACTCTGAACTTGTAGATAGTTCCCAGTGTTATTGTTATCGAGTTCAGCACTGCTGTAGTTGCAGTTGTATAGGAGCCATCTTAGCCTTGTATGTTACTCCAACTTGTGCTTAGAGCTCCAATGGCATATTGTACATTATAAGAGTTAATAAGAGCTCCACCTTTCTGTTAATCTGTAGTCAAGGCAGCAATGTTAACAGTAAATTAAGAAATCGAAGAAGATAAAGGTACGTAAACAGGAGTGCTCATCTTTGAAGGCACTGTCTGGATTTTGGCTCCAAGAGTATTCGTTTGAGAGTTTGCTGACCACCCAAATGTGTTTCTTGACTTTACTCTAGCTGCAATCAGCATTCCATAAGTTAATGAGTAAGGGCTTCCTCTGAAAATTGATAAAGCTACTGTACATGTTCTTGAGTCGACTATCGCATTTTATGATCCATCACATGTAGCAGTACTACTAAAGTCACCATCAGCCTCCCTGAATTCTATCTTGTATTCAAGTACATTGTCATAGTTGGTGAATGGTGCAAGCCAGGAAATGATTACATTCTAGCCATCATTTGTTGTGTTTGTCTAAGTCACAATTCCTGGTTCTTGAGCAGTTAGGATTGTCTCTGGATCAGAGAGTTCTCCCCATCCATAGGCATTCTTTGCTCTTACTTTGAAGATATAGTTTTTGTTACTAAGCACCCCTGAATTTACTATGAATGATAAAGAAGTTGATTCTATACTATAACCCACCAGATCTTGCCAATCAGCTTGGTTGGTGTTGTAATCCCATTACAAATTATATGAAAGAATTGGAGAGCCGCCAGTTTCTAGTAAGGTAGTCAGAGCACTCCAAGTAACATGAATCTAAGATATAGTTGTTTGAGAACCTCTTAATGGAATACTCATCTTAGCTGGAGCAGTTTTTATGTTTGCACCAACAGTATTAAGATCTGATACTAGACTCCAGCCATAGAAGTTGTATGCACTTGCTCTTATTTTCACAAGAGAGTCGAATGCGAGAGTGTAAGGAGATGCTCTGAGAACACTCATTGGAATTACACAATAGAGATTAGCAAGTAAGGTTGGTAGACTTCCATCACAGTATGTCTTTGTTTCAGCGAATGATCCTGCAGTTGATGTTTGAATTTCAATCAAGTACTTAGTTATTGTTTCAGAGTTACTGTTTGGTGCAGTCCATTATATTTTTAATCCACCAGTAGTAGCGTCAATAGAGGTTGTAACTGAGCTCATTTAGTCTGGGAAGGTGGCTGCTTTAACAGCAGTTGGAGTAGAGAATGAACCCCATCCCCAGATATTCTTACTTCTTACTTTGAATAGATATGTTCTCCCAGCAACAATATTGCTAGACACTGTAAAAGTTAAAGCTGTAGTATCAACATTAAGTCCAATAAGATCAACCCAGTTATTACCATTTGTTCCTGAATCGTATTAAAGGTTGTATGAAGTGACAATTGAATAGCCACTATTAGCTAATGATTATGCCAACCATGAAACTACTAATTAGGTTGTGGAGGTTGAACTCTCTCTCACTGGTGAGGACATTTAAAGTGGTATGACTTGAGCAAAAGCTGCACCTGTACTATCTGCTGATGCTTCTGACCAACCAATGGCATTTTTAGCTAAAACATTTGCCTATATAATTGTACTACCACTTAGGCTGTATGGAGAACTGGTGAGAACTTGCATAGGAATCTCACAATATCTCTGTGCAAATATGAGAAGATTAGACCCACTGCAGTAATAAATTTGCTCAGAGTAGACTCCATTACTTTGCTTAATTAGAATCTAGTATTAGGTGATCGACTCATAGTTGGCGAATGGAGCATCCCAGGCTATCCTCACAAATTGGTTATTTATAGATGTAGTTGGCTTTGGAGGAGCATCTGGAACTCCTGCGGCTAGCACAGACAGATCATTGGAAAACTCTCCCCATCCATGAATGTTGTAGGCTGAAACCTTGAATTTATATATGTTTCCTCCTGAGATTCCAGAGTTCTTAATAAAAGTTCTTAAAGTAGAAAGACTTCCAGCTTGACCTTAGAGATTCTCCCAAGTGCCAGTTCCTTTATCCCATTATAGATTATAAGAATCGATTTAAGTGCCTCCTGTTTGAGTGACTGCTGCCCAATTTACTTTAATTGAAGTAGTGGTAGATGCAGGGTCTTTGATAGGAGTACTCATCTTGCCTGGTTCTGTTTACACAGTATCTCCAATTGAGTTAGGTTCAGATAAATCACTCCATCCATTAGCATTCTAGGCTTGGACTCTTGCTTGCACTAATTAGCCTAATGTTAAAGAGTAGTTAGTCCTCAAAGCTGTATAAGGTACCAAACAATACTGCTGCCCTATTATAGTTGAATCTGTTCCATTGCAGTTTGTGGTGTCCTCAGCATATGCATTAGTACTGTTTCTAATCACGATCCTGTATGCAATAAGAGGTGATGAATTCATAGTTGGTTAGGCCCAGCCTATCTTGGTATAAAGTCCTTGTCCTTCTGTTTCTGGAATATGCATTTGACTAGGTATCCCTGATGCTTGAATTGTAACTACATTTGAAAATTCACCAAAACCATAGATATTCTTTGCTCTAACCTAGAAATAGTAAGTAGTCCCAGGAGTAACTCCTTAAGTGACTATGAATTTCAATGCTGTCGAGTCTGAAGTAAAGCCAACTAAGTTGATCCAGGTATTCTAGTTAACGCCTGTATTCCATTAAAGATTATAAGACAAAATAGCTGAGTTGCCTGTGGCAAGAGTAGTAGAAAGGGCTGACCATAATACTTCTATTTGTGACTGTGTAGTTTAAGAGCCTCTTGTTGGATCTCCCATTTTAGTAGGGATTACTCTGATTGTTGCACCAATACTATTTTCTGTAGAGTATGTTCCCCATCCATTTACATTGAAAGCTCCACCTTATACCTATACAAGATCTCCAAAAACTAGTAAGTAAGGTGAAATTATAAGTTCACTCATAGGTATGATGCAGTACATCTAAGATTTTATCAGGCTTTGAGATCCATCACAATTGGTTAAGTCTTCCCTGTAAACTCCATCTTTCTTTTTTATTTCTATTCGATACTTTGAAATTACGTCTGAATTACTATCCGGAGCGACCCAGGCTATCTTAACTCCTCCTGTTAGTGTGTCTATTGATGTTACTAAAGTGTCCATCTAAGAAGGGGCTGCACTAGACTTGATTTGATAAGCATCACTAAATGGTCCCCATCCCCAAAAGTTCTTAGCTCTTACTCTGAAGTTGTATTGCTTATTAGAAACAACTCCATTAGTGACTATGTAGCTTGTGCTAGTGTAGACTGAAGTAAAACCTGCTAGATCGGCCCAAAGTATTCCATTAAGTCCAAGATCCCATTACAGATTGTAAGTTATTACATAAGAACCTCCAGTCTCAATATGTGTAGTTAAAGCTGACCAAGATATCTCTATCTATGATTCATCAGTCAATGCGCCTCTAGCTAAGGCAGTCACACCCACTGGCTCTGTTTGAATTTAAGCTCCAGCTGTATTAGCATCAGACATATCACTATATCCATATTAGTTTCTTGCTTCAACCTTCACGAACACCACATTATCAAATTTTAGATAGTAAGGTAAGGCTCTTAGTACTGACATAGGTATTTCACAAGACTTCGATGAAAGTACTGGCTCTATAAGCCCATTGCAGTAAGTGGTTTCGAGCAAGAAATTAGTAGTATTATCAGCTACGTATAATCTGTATCCATTGATTATTCCACTGTTGTTGTAAGGTGGGTCCCAAGTTATTTTTACGAATATATTATTGATGACAGTGGTAGGCTTAATTGGCTTATCTGGGAATGTAGCTGCAACGATGGCAGTTGGGTCTGAAAATGGTCCCCAGCCCTGAATATTATGGGCTCTTACTTGGAATTAGTAAGAAACTCCTGCATCTATCAAAGAAGACTTGGTAAATGTTAAAGTTGTTGAATAAGCAAGATCCTAGCCTTGAAGATTCTACCAGCTTGCTCCATTAGATCCTTAATCCCATTGCAAGTTATACGAATCAATGGATGAGCCTCCAGTACTATCTCCTGTCAAAGCAGCAAAGTTCACTACAATCTAATCTTCACTAGTTAAATCACCTCTTGTAGGAGAGAGCATCTTGAGCGGAACAGTTAATACATGAGCACCAGTATTTTTAGGTAAAGAGAAGACCGACCAACCTAAGTCATTCTAAGCTTGTCCAATGGCTTAGACTAAATCACCATATAATAGGCTGAATGGTGAAGCTCTAAAGACACTCATAGGTATGCTGCAGTATTGCTATGCTAGAATGGCTGCATTAGTTCCATCACAAGTTGCTGTTATCTCAGAATACACTCCATTCTTCTGCTTAATTAATATCTTGTAGTTGTCAATACCATTTGAATTATTGTAAGGGGCATCCCAAGATACTTTGACTAATAAGTCTCCAACTACCTCTGAAGATATGGGAGACATTTGTTATGGCTTATCACTAGCCTGAATGTTTGCAGGAGAGGATGCTAAACCGAAACCATGAGCATTCTTGGCACTTACTTTGAAGTTGTAGTATACACCTTTGTCCACATTTGTAGTCACAATGAAAGAGGTTAGAATGTAAGGAGAAGTTTATCCAATCAAATCATACCATTGGCCATTTACTCCTTTGTCCCATTATAGATAATATGATACGATTGGTGCTCCCCCAGTATCAGTGTTTGAGGAAAATGCATTCCACATAATTTCAATTTATGTTTCACTAGTCTATGAGCCTCTTGAAGGTTGATTCATTTGAAGAGGCTCAGTTTAAATTTGAGCACCAACTATATTTGGAAGAGAAGCTGTGTTCCATCCGATCGTATTCTTAGCTGACACTGTTGCAATAACTAAATCATTGTAAAGTAAACTATAAGGACTTTGCCTGAGTATAGCCATAGGGATTTCACAGTACTTGTTACTTATAACTGAAGCCACATTGCCATCACAGTAAGCAATATTTTCGCTAAAAACACCATTTTTTTGTTTGATTAGGATTTCATATTCAGTGATTGGGGAACCGTTAGAGTTTGGTTCCACCCAGGTGATTCTAACATTTATACCAGAGACTGTGACGATAGGGATTGCTATCCTTGCTGCTGCTTCAGAGGCATATAATAGATTAGATGCAGAAAATTGTCCATAACCCCATTTGTTAAGTGCTCTTACTTTGAAATTGAAAGATGAACCTGGAATTCTATCAGTCAGGATGAATGAAGTTTATGGATACATAGAAGCTATTCCAGTTAAGTTAACATAGGTTGTGTTTGTTCCATCAGTATCCCATTAAAGATTATAAGATAGGATTGCGGATGATCCAGTATCAGCAGCCAATGTTAATGGGTACCAAGATATTTGAATAGATGTTGCTGTAGTTTATGATCCCCTATAAGGCTCTGCCATCTTAGTCGGCTCAACTTGGATTTTCGCACCTATAGAGTTCAAAGCTGAATAGGCACCCCAATCAACAGTATTTCTTGCTCTGATTTTTGCTACTACTAGAGTATCGTAAGTAAGGTTAAAAGGAAGATCTCTCAAAACTGTCATTGGGATGTGGCAGTATCTATTTGTGACTATAGCAACGAGAGAACCATCACAATATATAGTTTGGCTAGAGAATGTTTCAACTAGATTATTCTGCTTGATCTAGAGATCATATGCTGTAACTGCATCATAATTATCAGTAGGATAACTCCAAGAAAACTTGACATATTGATTTTCAATGATTGTAGTGACCTCACTCATTTGCTCTGGTTCTTTTGCTGCTTTGATTGTTATGATATCACTGAAAGGTCCCCAACCAATCACATTCTTGGCGCTATACTTAAATTAATATGAGAGTCCTGAAGTGACAGTGGTTATAATCTTGCTTAGTGCTGTATATGCTGTAGTGAATCCTACTACTTCTGAGAATGTTGAACCTGATCCACTATTCCAGACTAGTTGATAAGAAGTAATTGTGCTTCCACCATCTTTAGGAGGTAATAGAACAGCCCAAGTTACTTCAATTTATGATGAAGTTGATTACGATCCTCTTTAAGGAGATGATAAGGGTTTTAAAGGAGAAGTAATGACCAGCTGATTTGTAGTGCTTGAAATGGATTGAGGACCTTAACCATTTGAGTTGACTGCTGCTACTTTTGCTTTGATTTATTGATTGTAAGAAAGATAAAATGGCGATAAAACCATGTTGATCATTGGTATTGTGCATTGAACATTAGTAGCTGAGAGTGATGCACCTATACAAGCTGTTGCATCATTATAGAATCCAGTTGAATTCATGATCTACACAACGTAGCCAGTTAAAGCAATTCCATTTCCACCAGTGAATGTGGGTTTAGTCCAAGATATTAAAACCTAATCATCTGAAAGACTTGTTGTAGGCTACCCAGGTGCATTTGGGACAGTTGATGCTTAAATAGTTGCAATTGGTGAGAAATCACCAAAGCCATGAATATTGGCTGCTCTGTATTTAAATCTGTAAGTAGCTCCATTTGTAATGGCTGATGTTACTAGTAGAGAATTCAATGTGTAAGGTGATGTGAATCCAACTACTTCTGTGAAATCACCACCAGATCCATCATCTTTCTATAACTCATAGCTTGTTACCTATATTCCTCCTGCCTAGAACAAATCAGTTATGAAATTCCATCTAACATCAATCTACTACTCATTAGTCTGATCTCCTTCTGTAGGAGCATTAAGTGGAGCATGAGGTACAACTTAAGCTACTGCACCTAATGTGTTAGGATTAGAGTAAGTTGATTATCCTTTACTATTAGAGGCAGCTACTTTTGCAATAATTGTATCACCTTGTAGTAATCCAAATGTAGTTGTAAGAGTTGACATTGGAATATCACAATATCTATTATCGATAATGGTAGGAAGCAACCCATTGCATGTTGCCAGAGATTCAACAAATGATCCATCTTTCTTCTAAATAAGTACACTATATGCTGTTATTAATACTCCTAATCCACCACTATATGGCAATACCCAGGATACTCTAACATTTACTCCATTATTTTAAGTAGTAATCTATGTAACTTAGGAAGGTACATTGAATGCTTGAATTGTTACTACAGGAGAGTATGCACCCCATCCGAATACATTCTGATTTCTAAACTTAAATTTATATGTTTAACCACTAGTTAATCCAGTAACCGTGACTGTATTCAAAGCTGTTACAGTGTATGAAGCATAGGAAACTCCATTTGTACCTTGATCCCAGGCTAAGTCAAAGTAGAGAATATTTATGCCTACAGCAGTCATAACTAAAGTAGCTTGTGATTCTGAATATGAGGTAACGCTTGGTGCTACAGTGGGAGTATCTGGTTCAGTTTGAATCTGCTGTCCTGCAGTGTTTGGAGTTGAATAAGGCCCAGTTCCTATGCTATTAATTGCTGCAATCTTAACAACTATTAAATCATCCTTCTAAAGATTGAATGTTAAAGGATTTCTTAGAACAGTTAATGGGATGTCACATTAAGTTAGTGCTACTATGGCTGGAGCTTATCCATCACAATAAGATAACTCCTATGCAAATGATCCATCTTTCTTCATTATTTGAATGATATATGAGGTAATAGTATCTGCACCATTATAAGGAGCAATCCAGTCTATTCTAACATTTATGTCATCGACTATAGTGAAACTTGGAGTAGAAATGATTGATGGGACTTAAGCGGCCCTGATTGAAATAGGTTCAGAAAAGTCTCCCCATCCATACTTATTCCTCCCTCTATATTTAAATTAGTAAATTCTGTTAGATGTGAGACCATTTCTTGTGTAGATTAAGATCATGTTATCAGGTGCCTCACCTGTGAGAGTGATATACTATGTTGAAAGACTATCTTTAAACTGTAAATTATAAGAAAGAATAGCTGATCCTCCAGTTAACAAACCTGATATCTCGGGCATTGATACAGTAATTGAAGTAGGAGACTATGTAATAAGTACAGGAGTTTGAGTTGGCTTAAGAGGTACTGAAGCAAACAATGCTCCTACTAAATTTGGATCAGAAAAAGGACCTTCACCAATCTCATTATAAGCTTTCACCTTTGCCACAATTTAATTTCCTTACTCTAAAAGGAATGGAAGTGCTTTTAATGTTGACATTGGAATGTCGCAGTAATGATTTGCTACTATAGTGGCATCTTACCCATTGCAACTCGAGGTTATATAGTAGTTAGTAAGGTCAAAAGAAAGTATTTCTACTCTGTATTTTGAAACAGGACTTCCATTTGGATTTGGAGGATTCCATCTTATCCTTACTGTTTAATCTGCATTTTCAGTTACTTCAGGAATTTAGACTTAAGCTGGAATCGTTGCTGCCAATATCTAACTTGTGTTTGAGTACTAGCCCCATCCATGAACATTCTATGCCCTTACTTTGAAATAATATCTAGCTCCAGATACAACATTTACTGACTATGTATGTTCAATGCCTGTGAATGGATTTGTAAGTCCTACCAGATCATACCAGTTACCTTAATTAGTATTTTTATCCCACTATAAATGATAGGATGTTATAGCTGAGCCTCCAGTCTCAAGTGTAGTTGCCAATGCAGCCCATTGAATTTAAATCTAGTTAGTATTTGTAAGTAGACCTCTTGTAGGAGCTTAGGGCTAACTCGGTTCTGTTTGAAGACTTGTTTGTACCACATTAACTGGAGAAGTAGCTCCGAATCCTATAATGTTTGATGCAGAGACTCTGACTTTTATTGGATCTCCTGATAGAAGTAAGAATGGTGAGTTTCTTAGTGAGGTAAGAGGAATCTCACACAATGTGTCGTCTCTTATGATTGAATTACTTCCATCACAATCTGTTGAATCAGCTGTCCAAGTAGTTCCATCTTTTCTTTGTATTTCAACGAGATATGATGTGATAGGTTTACCGTTATTAGCAGGCTCACTCCAGTCAATAACTACTTTTGAATCAACAATAGAAGTAATTGGAGCTAATGGAGCATCTGGAGCCTTAGCTGAGAAGATGGTAACTTTAGGTGATTCTGAAGACCATCCATATATATTTTTAACTCTGTAGTAGAAGTCGTATGAACCTCCGTTGGTTAAAGAATCTTTGTAAGCAAATCTGTCGAGATTATTAGCTGTAAAACCGAGTATTTCAGTGAACGTTGTGCCAGAGCCACCATTCCAATACAAAGCATATGAAATTATATCTGAGCCACCATTGGGAGTCCCTGTGATTTAAGGCATCTCAACTGATATCTTGGTATTGGTAGATCCTGCTTCATTTCTAAGTGGTCCAGTTGTCGGAGGAAGTGGCTTAACTTCAATTTTCGCTCCTTCAGTATTCTGATTGCTCTGAAGTCCCTCTCCTTGTTTATTGACTGCTCTAACTTTTACTTGTATGAGTGTACCTTAGGTCAAGAAGAAAGGTGATATCCATAATGATTCCATAGGTATAAAGCATTCGTGGTCATCAATGACTTGCTGAACTGTTCCATCACAATAGCTGTTTGAGTAGAAATTATTATCAGCCCCTCTAAGGACAAGTTAATAAGCTGTGAGATCAGCTCCATTGATATCTGGGACTGCCCATTTGACTCTAACATTCGTGCCTACCAAATCAACCACTGGTGTTAAAACTTAAGATGGAACCATTATAGTTTCTATTATACCAATTTCAGACACAGGTCCCCACCCAAATACGCTCTTAGCTCTGTATCTGAACTAGTATTACTTAGAGATAAGTAAGTTCTAAACTAGAGCTGCTGTTAATGTACTCTAAGTTGTGAATCCTTAAAGCTCATACCATGTTACTCCATTTGAAGCGCCATCATATTCTATCAAGTATGAGGTAATAGTAGATCCACCTGTCAATGTAGATGTTAAAGGAGCAATAATCACTTAGATCTAACTAGTAGTAGTAAGAGGTCCTCTGTATGGAGCAAGAATTGGCTTAAGAGGAATAGTTTAAATCTGCGCTCCTATACTATTAACCTAAGAATACTATGAATCACCAATGAGGTTTTGAGCAAGTACTCTTGCTTTTATGTAATCTCCTTAAATCAATTGATAGGGAGATAGCTGAAGTACTGAGATTGGTATAACGCAATATTGATTGTTAATGATAGTTGTGTCCGTTCTAGCATTACAGTAGCTTAGTTCTTCCTTATAAGTTGTTCCATCCTTAGCCAGTATCTATACATTGTAACCTGTGATAGCAGTTCCTCCATTGTAAGGAGCAGTCCATTGAATTCTGACACTAGTGCCTACATTATAAGTTGCAGGAAGAGCTGGTCTATCAGGAATTTTAGCTGCAATAGCTTAGAGTACGCTTGAATAAGGTCCCCAGCCAAAAATGTTCCTTACTCTATATCTGAAGTTATAGATCGATCCTGCAGTTAGGTAAAGTTAAGTATAAGTAAGAACTATGTTGTTGGTAGAATCTCCTATTAAGACTGAGTAAGTAGAACCAGATGTTCCACTATCCCACTCAAGTGAATATGATATGATTGGAGATCCTCCAGTTTTAGTTTAATCAGAAACTTATTTCATGAGTACAGTGATTTGTTACTCAAAGGTGTTATCAACATCAATTGTCATATCGTCTGGCTTCTAAGGGATGGTCTATACTAAGATTCCCTGAGTGTTTTAATGAGAAACTATACTACTTCCAATACTATTGAATGCATAAACTCTTGCAGTAATAAGAGCGCCTTATGCTAAATTATAAGTTGGAGCAAGGAATACACTCATAGGAATAAGACAATAATTATTCAAGACGACATTTTAGTCAGTTCCATCACAATATGTAGTTGTCTCTTTGAATACTCCATCTGATTGTAGGAATTATATCATATAATATGAGATGGGTGACCCGTTTTCATTTGAAGGGATCCATGATATTCTAATTGATGTACCAATCTAAGTAATGACTACCGGCTGAAGTTAGCCAGGTACTTATGCTGCTACTATATCGACTGAGTCTGAGTAATCACCCCAGCCATGAATGTTGTATGCTCTATATCTAAACTTGTATGTCCTCCCAGAAACTATCTAGGATCCCATTACTGTGTAAATTGAAGTAGTTGAATAAGGACTGAAACCTATCAAAGTTGTCCAAGTAGCTCCACTAGTCCCTGAATCCCATTACAGATTCAATGAGAGAATTGTGCTTCCTCCAGTATATATTCCAGTAAGCATTGCATAGTCAGTCATTAAACTTGTTTGAGTAGTTCCTGAATTTCTTGTTGGAGAACTAGGAGGCTTAAGTGGAGGAACTTAAGCTAACTCTCCTTAAGAGTTGAATGATGAAGGAGTTCCGCTTCCAACTAAGTTAATAGCATAGACTGTTGCTTTGATTAGAGTTCCTTATGCAAGATTGTAAGGACTAGAAGTGAGAATGTTCATCGGTATCTCACAGAATGAATTTGCAATTGCTACGAAATTCGATCCATCACAGTAGAATAGCTATTCAGAGATTGTAACTCCATTAGATTGTTAGATGAATATCTTATAGGCAGAGATTGCAGCTGCTCCATTGTTTGGAGGTATCCATGTAATCCTCAGTGTTTTACCATTCATAGAAGTAGTTACTGGCTGCATTTAAGATGGCACTTACGCAGCTATGATAGCTGTATTATCAGAGTATTCTCCCCATCCCTACCTATTGAGTGCTCTATATCTAAATAGGTAGCTCTATCCTTGAATAATGTTAACTGTTACCTAGATAGATAGATCTGTGTTATAAGGACTAAGACCAACAAGAGTGGACCATGTCAGAGTTGATGAATTCGTACCAGAATCCCACTAGATCTAATAAGATAAAATGTCTGAACCACCAGTAGCTGTGCCACTTAAAGCTGTAATGTCCACTACTATCTTAGTTTGAGTAGTGGCTGAGTTCTTATAAGGAGCAACTGGAGGTTTCGAAGGAACTTTTTCAACTAGTGCCCCTATTGAATTCTCTACTGATATTGTTGATGCTCCAATATAGTTATAAGCAATGATCTTTGATTAGACTAGATTACCTTATGATAATAAGTAAGGAGCTGTTTGCAACTCACTTAACTGTACTAAACAGAATTTTTGTGAAACTATAGTTGGATTGGTACCTAAGCAATTAGGGCTTTCATAAAAAGTTCCATTCCATGCTTTGATGGTGATCTTGTAAGTAGTGATTGCAACTCCTCCATTATCTAAATTAATCCAGGAAATCTTTACAGATTAATCAATGATCTGAGTTTGAGGTGCTCCTATCTACTCAGGCTCAACTGCTGCATAAGTAACAAGTATATCTGAGACATCGCTCCAGTCGACATCATTTAGGACTGAATATCTGAACTTGTACAATTGGCCTGTAGTGAGAGAGCTCTTAAGTAGAGTTGTTAGAGTAGATAGAGGACTATCTCCTTGCAAAGGTGTGAATGTTGTTCCTGATCCTCCTCCATTCCATTCTAACTTGTACGATGTGATTGTTAGTCCTCCAGTATTGAATCCAGTAACGACAGGCATGTCAATCTTTATAGATGTTTTAGAGCTTAGCAAGCCATTTCTCACCGGTGGAGTAGCAGGCTTCTATGGCTTTGCTACAATATAGGTTGAACTTGAACTTGGATTAGAGTAGATAGAGTAGTCGAGACTATTATATGACCTGATCTTGACGATAACTTAATCGCCTTGCACTAAACTAAAAGGGCTTGAGGTTAGAGTAGTCAAACTGATATCACAATAATGAGCTGATTTCACTGCATTGCTTGCTCCATCGCATTCACTAGTAATTGCCTCATATGTTAGATCTTTCTTCCTGAATAGAATTTCATATCCTTAAATAGCAACTCCGTTACCTCCAGTGTTAGTTGGTTATGTGAATGATACCCTATAAGCGAGAAAAGTATAAGCAACATTCGGTGCATTAGTTTAGATTGGTTTAGTAGCAGCTAGAATTTAAACTTAGGGAAGTACTGATACACCATCCCAACCATTTCCATGAATATTTCTAGCATAGTAAGCGAAATTATAAGTAATGCCACTTTGAATGCCTGTGGTGAAAAGTATAGTAGTATCTAAATTGGGAACAGTATCACCCTTCAAAATACTCAAAGCTCCTCCAAGACCTTAATCCCAAAGAATAACGTATGAAGTGATTGCACTTCCTCCAGTATTTGTTCCAGTTAAAGGTGTTATTATAAGTTCAACTTAGGTTTCTCCAGTATTCAATCCTCTAATTGGTGCTATTGTAGGCTTGTTAGGGACTGTTTCCACAAGTGCACCTACTGTATTGACATCTGAAATGATACTAGTTCCAAATGCATTTGTAGCTTAGATCTTAACCCTAATAAGATTTCCCAATGAAAGATCAAAGGGACTAGCTTGAAGTGATAATAAAGTCATTCTGCATTGCCTTGAAGTTTTAACAGCGGTCAATGTTCCATCACATGTACTTCCTAATCCTTGAGGTAAAAATGTGCCTGTTGAATCTGCAATTTAGATTGAGTAGTATTGTATCGATGAACCTTTGATATCAGGCAGTGTCCAAGATATTAGTACATTATTGACTTCGATTGCTGTAGTTGGAGCATTCATTTGAGATGGAGCAGTAGCCGCAGTAACTGTAGACTCACCAGAGAAAGTTCCCCAGCCAAAGGCATTGCGAGCTCGATACTGGAATTTATAAGTTTAGCCTGCAGATAGTCCTGTTACTGTAAATGTAGTAACTAAGCTATTGTATACTTCTCCTATTAAACTTGTCCAGACTCCAACTCCACCATCCCATTGCAAGTTAAGAGAAATGATGGGTGAACCACCGTTTTCTGGGTAGACAGGAATTGAGAAATCAACTTGAATTTTTGTATCTGTTGTGCCTGCATTGTTTCTCAATGGAGGAATAAGAGGTGATCGAGGCTCAGTCCTTACATCACCACCAACTGAATTTATTTCTGAAGGAATGCTAGAGCCCACTAAGTTTAAGGCTTCAACTGTTGCTTTAACTATTCTTCCTAAAGGTAAAGTATATGACCCTGATACCAAAGCTGACATCGGGATTATGCAGTAGTGATTAGCTTTTGTAGTAGGATCTGCTCCATTACAATAAGTGAGTGATTCTGCAAACTAAGTTGTAGTCTATTTCTAAATCATAACTTTGTATGATATGATTGGCAGACCTCCGTTATAGGAAGGTGGTTCCCATTGAATTCTAATATTAGTTCCTTCATTTGATGTAACTACTGTAGCAATAGTCTCAGGCACTTTGGCAGCATAGAGGTTAAGTTCATTTGAGAAGGGTCCCCATCCGAAAATGTTTTTAGCCCTATATTTAAACTTATAGATTGAACCTATTTAAATCGAATCCACTACTGTGAATGTAGTATCAAGAGAATCAGTGCTATTACCAATTAGTGTGGACCATGTGGCTCCATTTGAGGCGTCATCGTATTGCAAGTGATAAGAAATTATATCTGAGCCTCCATTAATTGGATCGCTAAGAGCAGCCCAGTTTACAACAAGTTAAAGATGGGATGAAGTAGCATCTCGTGTTGGTGTTGTTGGAGGTTACTTTGGTACTACCCTTATGTCTGCAGTAATTTAACTTTCTATAGATTCACCACTCCATCCTACAGGGTTTTTAGCTTAAACTTTGGCAACTATACTATCTCCTTGTTCTAAGTTATAAGTTGAGCCAATGAATACAGACATACTTATAGAGCAACTTCTAGCATCCCTAATAGCTGTATTGGCTCCATCACATTATGCTTTATACTCAGCCCAGTCTAGATTAAGCTTCTAAATTAAGATTTTATATTCAGTTATTGTCACTCCAGTTCCGCCTGGATTAGCTGGTTCATCCCAGGAAATCTTAACTTTATCATCAATGAGAGAATTTTCTGTTTTAACATTAAGAGGCTAAGTAGGAACAGTTGCAGATAATATACCTAGTGAAGGTGAGTAGTTAGTGCTCCAACCAAATATATTCTTCACCTTATACCTGAATGTATAGATTAGGCCACTGCTTGTGGGCTGATATATCTTTACTTGATCTAATGAATCAGATGATACTCCTGATAAAGGCTAAAATCCTGAGCCATCATCTATCTCGATACCATATGAAGTTAAGTCTGAGCCTCCTGTGGCTAAATGAGCAGGAATAATTACCTCAACTTAGCCTTCATTTGTATTTGATCCTCTAGTTGGAGGAAGCAAAGGATCATGAGGAATAGTCTTAGCCACAGCACCTAAAGTATTAGGCAGTGAGCCTGGAGAGTAATTGACTTCATTGAGAGCTTCCACTACTGCTATGACTTTATCTCCCTCATTCAAGCTGAATGGAGCAGCTAATAAGACTGTCATTGGGATTGAACACGTAAGAATATTAACATCAGTTCCTGGACAACCAGTTGGATAAGTATAGAGAATGCCATCTGCTGATGACTTAACTCTAACTCTGTATGAAATAAGATTAGATCCACCATTACTTGCAGGTGCAGTCCAGGTAATCTTTACATTTGGATCAATATTTTCTGTTTCTGCAGCTGGACTTATCCTGCTTGGAACTGCTGCCATGATAATAAAAGTAACAGGAGAGTAGTCACCCCATCCTTATTAATTGAGTGCTCTGTATCTGAAGTAATACTTCTTGCCGGATTGTAACAATGGAATAGTGTATTGAGTTACAGTAGAGTAGATAGTGTATCCACCAACCTCACTGAATGGACCAGCTCCAGCATTCGTATCATCCATTTCTAATTCATATGATAAGATGTCAGCTCCTCTTGCTTATGTTTAGGATAATGGAATAAACTAAACGCCCATAGTTGTTCCAGATGTTATTGCATCTACTCTAGTTGGCCCAGCTAGAGGTGCTAAGGGTACATTTTGCATTATAGGCGGGAATATTGTCTCTGCTGATTGTGAACTTTGCCCAATTTCATTCTCAAATATGACTTTTGAACTGATAAAGTCCCCATAGACTAGGGCCCAAGTTGCACCTCTAAGGTAAGTTAGTGGAATTGTACATTATCTTGCTTGGAATATAACATCATCTGAGGCATCGCAATTCGCGGTATCTTCAATAAAGCTATTAGCGTGAGTCTTGATAACTATTTGTGCCTTGAAAATATTTGAACCTCCATTGAATGGAAGATAGAACATAACTTTAGCATTAGTTCCAATTATAGAAATGGTTGGAGGAATAGGTGTATCTGGTTTTCTTGCAGCTAGTACAAATCCAAAATCTGAATATGGTCCAAAACCTATTGCGTTCTTTGCTCTGTATTTTAACTTATATGTTCTGCCAGCATATATTCCAATCGATTTAGTTCCAGTTAATAGTAAAGAGTTTGATGTTTAACCTTGAATCTCTGAGAATGATCCTCCCAGTCCATCGTCAATCTGAATATCATAACTTATAATGGTAGCTCCATTTGTTGTAGCAACTGGAAGAATAGTTACTTGTATTGTTGTGTCACTTGTTGAGGCTCCTCTTGCTGGTACAGCTGTTGGTTTTGCTGGAACTCCAGCCAAGAGTAATGGATCTGAGTTTGGACTATCAATGCCATCCAATGAGTATTTGGTTATAACTTTGACTTTGAATAAGAAGTACTTTCCTAAGCTTCCTCCTGGAAGTTCTGAGACAATTAATCCATTTACTTTTGGCTTCAAACTCAAATCATTCTCATGTATTTTTATCAATGGGTTGTCATGATTATCATTAATATTGCTGCTGCCATCATTTCTGTAGACTTAATATTCAAGTATTGAGCAGCCTCCATCGTCTATAGGGTCGCTCCAAATAAAAGTTATAGTTGTGGTTGTACTAGTAATCCACTAAGGCTTTGAGGAAGCTGTAGGATTTACACATGCGATTGTAGTGAGGACATTTGAATACTCACTAGCTCCGTTGAAATTGAATGATCTGTGTCTGAAGTTGTAGGTTTGACCTGTAGTTACACTTAATGTATAGGCTAAGACATCTGGTCTTCCTCTTCCGTTCCATATCTCTTGATAGGTTCCCTCTCCTGAACTATCCATTTCTAGTGAGTATCCAGAGATAGGAGAATCTGTGTCTGGTTCTACTAACCATGTTAAAGTGATTTGGGTTCTGGTTGAACTTGCAGATCTAACCAATTTGCTTGGTTTTTAAGGTAAACTTGTAATTGATAGGAATGTCTCTGCACTATAATCTGAAGAGCCGATTTCATTAACTGCTATTGTAGCAAATGCATAGGTTTTACCAGCTAGTATAGAATCATCAGTAGTTGTAAGAGTCTTAGTTGATAATGCTGAGAATAATCCAGATACCTTGACATATGTGAGACTTTCTAAAGGCCTATAGTACAATTCATAGCCTGTAATGATTGCTCCACCATTTTCAATTGAAGGATTTATTATTATAGTAATAGAAGTTGCACTGGAACTTTAGAGTTATGGCCTGTCAGGGCTTTGTGGTGGAGAAGCTGCTCTGATGTTAGCGACAGGACTCCACCCACTCCATCCATTTATATTCCTTGCTCTATACTTGAATCTATAAGTTATACCTCTAGTTATATTCACACTTGTGAAGGCACTTTAAGTTTCGTAAACTGCAAGTAGTCTGCTTGGTGACTGAACGGGAGCAGTACCTTGAAAGTAGGTGAACAAATACAAAGAGCTATCTCCACCGGCAACAGTATAAAAGCCTCCTCCAACTCCATCATCCATTTGAATTTCATAGTTAGTTATTGGAGAACCACCAGAAGATGGTTCTGAGTAAATGATTCTAATTAGGTTACTTGAAGTTTAGCTTAAATCAGAGACTGGTGAAGATGAAGGTGTTTCAGGTGGTGATGCTATAGTAACTGATAAAGTGCTTGAAGTCACTGAGTGTCCAGCTATGTTAGTAGCAGTCACTCTAAATTTGACTTCTTTACCTAAAGGATTTGCTGGCAAATCAGTGATGGAATAGCTATTTAATGATGGTTTATTATTTATCTATGCTGCATGAACTTCTACAAAGTTATTTCCTACATCATCAAATCTCAAAACAGAGTAACTTTTCAGAGGACATCCACCATCGTCACTTGGCTCAACCCAGTTGAGATATACACTAGTTTATGTTACAGCCCCTTAGAGTGGTCTGGGCAAGCCAGAAGGACTCACGCATGAGTAGACTGGTGTAATTGGTGAGGCAATACTTAGCCCAATTGAATTCTCAGCAATTACATAGAATCTATATTGATATCCAGTCATTAGATTACTTGCTGTTGCAGTCAAGGTATACTATTAACCTTTGCCATTATGAATTATTTTAAAGTTTCCTCTTAGACCATCATCCATATAAAAGTAGTAGCCAGTGATTACTCCTGCAGGAGGTAGAGTGCTAGTACCTGCATTCCAATTAATTGTGATTGACGTTCTTGAGTTTTGGTTGAAAACTTGGTAAGGTGCAGCAGGTTAAGATGGTACATTTGCGACTCCCACTACTTAAATACCACTGAATTCTGAGTCGCCAATTTCATTGATTGCTCTATACTTGAATTGATAGTAGTTTCCAACTGTTAAGCCCTCTGTTGCTACTGTTATTGTAGAAGTAAATCCATTAGTTAAGTAGTTGTAGCTTGCTGTTAATACCTTTTGGAACGCTGTACCATCAGTGCCTAGATTTCTGTGAAGCTCATAGTCAGTGACTACAGCTCCTCCGTTATCAAGAGTTGGATATAATGTAAGTACTATAGTAATTGAAGAAACTGAGTAAGCTTTTGGAGCAGGAGGAGCTATAGGAACTTGAGCAGCTTTGACGTAGAGTTCATTAGAGAAAGGTCCCCAGCCTTAGCAGTTTCTTGCTCTGTATCTGAATCTATAAGTCAAGCCTCTTTGAATTCCAGTATTGACTACATAGATTGGCATGAGATAAGGACTGGAGAGACCTGCCTTTGAAACAAAGTAGCCACCTTAACCATCATCCATCTAAATCTCATAGGATAAGATGTTGCAACCACCATTTGATAAAGATGGGAAGGCACTTATGTCAATTGATATTTGAGAAGCTGAACTGCCTAAGAGCACTTTAGTAGGGATAGGTGGTTATAGTGGTAGTGATGCTAGAGTGACTCCCAAGAGTGGAGATTCAGTAAAGCCAGCAGCATTGAACGATCTCACTTTAATCCTAAATACTTTACCCTGATTCGCTAAGTTCAATCTAGTTATATTTAGCTAATAGAGTGATGGAAGATTCCTAACTGATATATCATCATCAACATTAGCTTCAACAAAGTCTCCATTATTGCCATCATCAACAAATACTGCATAACCTTGGATTGGACAGCCTCCATTGGATCTTGGTTCATTCCATCTGACTAAGATAGATTCTGTGGTAGTTGATACTTTACTTGGTTAAGACCATTGAGAAGGAATTAGGCAAGGCTTGAAGTATGAAATATCAGATTGATCCCCAACTCCATTGAAGTTATAGGCTTCATTCTTTAATCTATAAGTAAGTGCTGGTGTTAACCCAGTCAACAAATAGCTGTTAATGGTGGGGGAAGCGTTTACTGTACTATAGACTGGTCTGAATATTCCGCCATAACCATCATCAGCATACAACTTGTAGCCCTTGATCTTTCCACCATTTGATATTCCATCAGAAACTAGAGTCCATTGCACGAATAGCTAAACATCGCTTGAATAAGTGTAGTTCACTTAGGGAGCAGTAGGCTTTAGTGGTTTATCATTAGGTGATGCATAGAGTATCTCTGAGAATTCTGAGTAGCCTTTGATATTCTTGCATCTGAATTTGATTTGATATATTGTTCCAGTTGTCAGTGACAGAAGATTTAGCTTGTCAATAGTGTGGGTCATAAGTTAAGAAGTAGTTACATATGCAGAAACTATTGAGAATGCACCACCATCAACACCATTGTTCATATGAAGTTCATGCTCTAAAATCTGTGATCCACCATTGTCAAGGCAAGTCTAGAACTTAAGGGACATTGAAGAGTCTGAAGCAGCTGTAAGAATCGGTTCTGGAGGCTGTGAAGGGACGTCAGCTGCAAGTATATACCTAATTGGTGACCAATCAGAAGACCAACCATAGATGTTCTTAGCTCTGTATCTAAATCCATAAGTTAATCCTCGAGTGAGGTTGTAAGCTGTATAAGTTTTAATCAAAGTAACCTTCTAATCATTTGAATCTCCTCCAAATACGTCTGTGAAGTTCTCTCTGCCAAGACCATCATCCATTTACAAATTATAACTCAAAATGGGGGATCCACCTGTTAACGAATTTCCTAATAGTTCTGTGAGTAGCACACTTATGGAAAATGCAGATGCTGCTACCTATATTGGAGCAACTAATGGGATAGTTGGAATACTGGCTAGTACAAAACTAGCTGTGTTTGATTTGACTTAGCCTACTTTGTTGAATGCGACTATTTGATAGAGAAAGATTTTACCAGTGGGTGATGAGGGGTAGTAAGTTATTTCCTTCTAGAAGAGTGTTGGCTTATCTCTTATGTTGGTGTCATCATCTGAGTTGACCTCTTGTGTGATAGCTCCTCCATCTGTTCCATCGTTTCTGAATATTGCATAACCTGTGACAGGACATCCACCATCATCTTATGGAGCAAACCAACTCAATGTGAATGAGGTGGAAGTAGAGTCAACTCTTGTTGGGGCATTCATGCTGATAGGAGAAGTACAGGCATATGTGGGATATTCAGGAGAGAGTACTCCTTCTCCATTAAAGTTTAATGCTGATACCTTAAATCTGTAATATTCACCAGTTTATAATCCTGTAATGATTTTGCTTGTTATCTCTGGATATTGATTGCCATCATAAACTAAAGAGTATGATCCAGTTAGGCCTTTTGCAATATATAGCCTATATCCTGTGATCTCCCCACCTATTCCTGCTCCATCAGCAACTGCTGTCCATTTTACTGCAATTTAAGTCTTAGTAGTACCATCCTCACTTCTAGATGGAATTAGGGGAGTAGCAGGGATATCATTTAATGAGACTTAAAGTGTATTAGAATATTCACCTTCACCTATTAAATTATTTGCTCTGAATCTAATTTTGTAAATCAATCCTGTAGTTAAGCCCTGATCTACTTTTTGAATAGTGACCTGGCTAGTTTATAAGTAGCCAGAAACAGGAGAAAATGGTCCATTCAAAGTACCATCGTCAATTTCTAAGTCATAAAGAGTTATAGGTGTCCCACCATTATTCACATTCAAATCAAGTTCAATAGATATAGAAGTGTCAGTTGCAGATTTGAAGATTGGAATCTTAGGTTTAGCTGGAACTTAAGCTGCTAGAATATAGCTAATGTCTGAGTAAGCACCCCATCCATATTTGTTCAATGCTCGATATCTGAACCTATAAGTCACTCCTCTTTGTACTCCTTATTGTATAGTCATTTCAGTTGCCATTTAATATGACAGATGTCCTATAAGAGGATTGAATGCTCCACCATTTCCATCATCCATCTCTAAACTATAAGATAGAATAACTGAACCTCCATTAGATGTAGAAGGAAAAGCTGGATATGAAATTACAAGCTTGGTTGCAGTTGATTAACTTTGAATTATTGAGGGAGAAAGTGATGGCTTTAAAGGTACATCCGCTAATGTAATAGTTGCTACATCTGAATCAAATGAAGTCTCCTTGGTATAAACTCTTACATATATCTTGAAATTAGAACCAGCTTAGCCTAATGTGAATGCAGTGATTTAAAATTGATTTAAGCCTGGTTGATTCCTCACATTAGTATCGTTGACAAGGTTAACCTCTGAGTATGTATTTGACAATGTTCCATCATTCATGAATACTGCATAACCAATAATGTCACAGCCTCCATCTTCAATAGGTGGTGTCCATTAAATTGTAATACTTGTTTAAGTTGAAGAATGCCTATAAGGAGCTGCAAATTTCTATGGAGGTATGCAAGAGTAGAAGTAATAGTTATCTGATTTATCTCCAGCGCCATTAAGATTGTAAGCAGTCACAAAGAATTTGTATTCTCTAGAGTGGACTAAGTTGTTGACAGTGAATGAAGTTTTGTCTGGGAGAGATTGAGCAACTCCATCATAAGCAACCCACTCGACACCTGTAATGGTATCCTCAACAGTCAATGCATAACCAAGTATATCTCCTCCAGGTAAAGTTCCTTATGTCACACCTAGCCATGAAGCACTGATGCTAGTTCTAGTACTTAGTTATGAGTTCTTGCTTAATAGTGTCGACTTAGTGAACTTATTAACAGCTGCTGATCTCAACTCATTTGAGTATGGGCCATCTCCAAATTGATTCTTTGCATACCATCTAAATCTATATATTCCACCATCTACCAGGCCATCATTAACAGATGTAAAAGTGTGAGTGTAAGGTATTACAGTGAATACCTTTTGGGAAACAAATGCTGGAGTGGCATCTGATTCTTTAAGCATCTCTATTGTGTAAGAGATAATTGGTGAACCTCCATCATCAACACTGGGGTCTAGATTAACAGTGATACTAGTAGGAGAAGATGAACTGTAAATAATTGGCTTAAGCTATTTCGGAACTTCTCCTGCAACTCTCAAGACAGCTGGAGAGTAATCACTCCATCCAACAGAGTTTCTAACCCTGAATTAAAACTTGTATTGAACTCCTTTGGTTAGATTTCCAACTGTAAATAGAGTTCTAAGAGAGAGATTATCAAAGCCATTGACAGTTATCCAAGAGCCATCAAATGCTTCAGCATACTACAATTGGTATGAAATGATAGGACTACCACCATTGAGCACAGTGATGTATTAGACAGTAATAGAACTTGCTGTAGTTTGTACTATAGTGGGTGCTGCAGCTGGTGCTGGAGGAATAGTAGCAAATAGTAATTAAACTAGTTTAGCTGAAACAAATCCCTCTCTATTATATGCTCTAAGTTCGAAAGTGAACTACTTGCCAAGATCTGCTGAATCCATATCTACGCTTTTTTCTCTAAGTGTTGGAATACCTCTCACATCAGGATCATTATTAGTATTTACTTCAATGGAAGGGATTCCAGTGAGACCATCGTCTTTGAAAAGTGCATAGCTTGTTATAGGGCAACCTCCATCTATTAATGGTGCCATCCAAGACAAAGTCATTGAGATTGAAGTGCTTTCGACAAAGCTTGGAGATTAAAGCAGTGATGGCTTGACACAAGTATAAATGATTTAGATGTTTGATAAATCTCCAAAACCATTGAAATTCTCTGCTTGTATTCTGAATCTATAGGGTCTTGAGGGCACTAAACCGTAGACAATGTATTGACTAAATGTAGCTACATTTTGACCATAGAATATTTCAACAATATCTCCATTCAATCCATTATCCATAAAAACTTTGTAGCCCTTAATGACTCCTCCAGGTAAATCTCTATCTGTATTTAGAGTCCATTCAATTGCAATTGATGTTGTATTAGTTAGAGCATCAATTCTATTTGGCATGCTAGCTTAATCTGGAAGACTAGTCATTGCAACTGAAAGTATAGGGGATTCCTCAGAGTAACCTATTCCGATTAAATTGTATGCTTTTGTAAAAAATCTGTAGATCCTTCCTGTTACTAAGGCAGTGATAATACTCTGATCAAGAGTATATTGCTAAGCTGTTTAATATGCTGCTACAAGTGTAGGCGCTCCCATTAGTCCATCATCTCTGTATAATTCATACTTAGTAATTGTATCTCCTCCATTATCTTTGCTAGTCCATAAAGCTATTTTCATTGTAGTAGAGGTTGCTTCTATGAATGTTGGCTACTCTGGGGCGTCAGGTACTCTTGCAGCCTTGATGTATCCTATTGGTGAGTATTCAGTCCATGCGATCACGTTTCTTGCCCTGTACCTAGCTCTGAATACCATACTTCGCTTGACTCCATTTGTAAATGTATAAGAAGTTGACAAGGAATTGGTGTCATATCCATAGACAGGTTTTAGTTCTCCACCCATTCCATCATCAATCTCAAGAGAATAACTTAGAATTGGTGTGCCACCATTTACTGTAAGAGGAGTTATATCAATCTTGATTCTATCAATGTTTGTGATTGAGGGGTCTGTGAAAGGTGCTACTGTTGGATCGTCTGGTTTATCTGCTAGAACGAATCCTACTGAGTCACTAAAGACACTGCCAATAACATTGTAAGCTTCTATTTTAAACTTGAAGGTTTTGCCTAAACTGGATAGAGGGAAGGTCGTTGTCATATGCTATGTGAATTCAGGTTTTCCTCTAACTGCAGATGAATCTATCTCTGTAAATGTAGTACCACCATTTCCATCATTGATATGCAAGCCAAATCCGAGAATAGGGCATCCTCCATTCAATCTTGGCTAAGTCCAACTCATGGTAATTGAAGTGCTTGTTCCTGACACGAACTTGGGAACTGGCAGATCAGATGGAGTCACACAAGTGTAGATGACTTTTTCACTGCTAAAATCTGTAAATCCATTTTGATATGATGCTCTAACTTTAAATCTGTATGGTATGCCAGTTGTAATATTATTTCTAGTGATGAAGCTGTTGACATTCGGGAATCCATTTGCTCCATCATATACCATTTTGTAAAGTCCATAGGCTGGATCAAGCATGTAGAGTTAATACCCAGTTATTTTTCCACCAGGACTTTAAGTATCAGTTGCAAGAGCCCAGGTAACTCCAATCTAATATTGATTTGTAAATGATGTCAAAGAAGAAGGCTAGCCAGGAGGCTATGGTTGATCCGCTAAGGCAAACATAGGTATTGGAGACTTGATAGAATTTCCAAGAGCATTATAGGCGACAAATGCAAACTTATAAATCTTGCCTGAAGATAGAGAATTGGCTACTCTATAGACTATATATGACATTCCATTGTTTGTATAGCCACTTAACTTTGTAGTAGGCTCATTAGCAATATTGCCATCATTAATGTACAATTCATACTTAGTAATCTCACTGCCTCCGTTATCAATTGGTTTGTAAAACTGTAATTCTATTTAATCTAATGTAGCCTCAATAAGAGTTGGAGCTAATGGTTATGTTGGAGATATAGCAGCTTGAATGTATGTTATGTCAGACCATTCACTCCACCCATTGATGTTTTTGCATCTATATTAGAATCTATATGTTCTTCCTTTTACAATATTCTCATTTAGAGTTAAAGAGGTTTATAGTGTATCAACCTAAGCACCAACTATAGTTGTAAATTAACCTCCAAGACCATCATCTACTTATAGTTATATTCCAATGATGCTTGATCCTCTATTGTCAGGAAGTACTGTTCCAAATAAGACTTTGATTCTGGAATCATTCGTGACTGTAGGATCATTAGTGGGAGCTGCTGGTTAATCAGGTACTTAGGCTAGGATATAAGTGGCGATCCCAGATTGAATAGATCCAGCGCTGTTAAAAGCTTCTATAATGAATCTAAATGGCTTTGTTTTATCTGATGATGAGAGAGTTACTTCATCTTAATAGATCTATGGTTCATATTCATCTACAAGATTGGTAATTGTTGAGATAGTAGTGCCAAGATCCCTATAAAGCTTGAACTTACTTAATGGACAGCCATTTAGCTAATGAGGGGGATTCCATTTGATTGTAAATTCAGTTTCAGTTGATGTTACATATTGAGGTGGATCGAGATCAGAGGGTGGTAAGCAACTAAAGAAAACATATTCAGTGGAGTCTTCACTTTCTCCATTGAAATTAATTGCTCTTACTATGAATCTATATGATTATCCTGACTAAAGTCCTACTGCATTGTAAGTAAGTACTCCTGGATATCCTTAACCATTGTAAATAAGTTTGTAATTTCCATTATTGCCTTCATCCATAAATAGTTTGTATCCACTGACTGGTATATAAGTATCAGCCACTTGAGTCCATTGAAGGAATATTGATGTGATCGTACTCTTAGTCAATAATTTGGAAATTGCAGCTGGCGCATTTGGTAGTGAATCACAAGCAACAACTATCTCATTTGAGTACTCTGATGGACCCTTTATATTGATAGCTTTCATTCTGAAGTAATACTTTTTACCAGCAACAAGCCCATCAGCAAGAGTAGTCATTGTATGACTCATTAAGTTTGAGGTATATGTTGATACAGGGTCATATCCTGCTCCATCATTGATCTCTAAGACATAGGAAGTTATTAATGATCCTCCATTGTCTAATGGCTCAGAAAATTTAAGTTTGATTGATGAACTTGAACTTGTATCATATATAGGTGTTCCTGGTTTTGATGGTGGAGAAGCGGCGAGTATATAAGTAACTGGTGAGAAATCCGACCATCCAATCTAATTTCTTACTCTATGCTTGAATCTGTAAGTAAGACCTTTATAAATTCCATTGGTAAGTGTAAAAATTCTCTGCATGTTAGGAACTAAATCATTTCCTCCAGAAATTGAAATAAATTCTCCATTACGACCATCATCCATTAAAAGATTGTATGAGATTATGGTAGATCCCCCATCATCAGCAGCAATAGGAATTGTGATTTTGATTACACTTGAAGAGGTTACTGTGGGATCATCTTAAGGTCCTGTTAGTGGATCTGGAGGAATACCAGCTAATATTGCTGTCAAGAAGTCATAACTAAATGTTGAGCCTATCTCATTAGTTGCTCTAAGTTTGAATCTCACTGGCAACCCTGTCAGTGCTCCTGGTAGAGTAAAAGGATGTTCAAAAAGATATGGTCTATCTTTGACATTAGCTTCATCCATGTTCTCTGTAAAACCACCATCATCTCCATCATCTCTAAACACAGCATAAGATTTTACTGGACATCCTCCTGTTTATAAAGGCTAAGTCCATCTTAGAGTTACAGTAGTTGCAGTAGATTCTATCAATTAAGGAGCTCTTACTAGGGAAGGGGCAATACAGCTCTTAATCTTTGCTATATCACTCTATAATCCCTCACCATTAAAGTTTACAGCAGATACTTTGAATGAGTATTCTATCCCAGCAGTAAGGTTGTATATCACAGTAGAAGTAAGCACTCCTTAATACACTAGAGTAAATAATACTCCATTGCCATCATCCATGTATAAGTTATAGTTCTATACTTCTAATGTTTAAGAAGTAAGACCTATCCATGTGATTCCTATTGAAGAGTCTGAGTTACCAACTGATGCTCTAGTTGGGCTTCCTGGTTTTGATGGGAGAGGTCCTAGTCCAATTCTTACAGTATCACTCTCCTCAGAAAAGCCCATGAAATTTTAAGCTCTGTAATAGAATCTATACTTTAATCCTTGAGTTAATAAATTCGCTGTTTTATCTACAGTAAATGAAAAGCCATGAGTGGCAAAAACGTAGGTTGAAAGCTTAGAAAAAGTTGAGCTAAGAGAACCCTAATCAATCCACAACTCATAATTTGTTATTTCAGAACCTCCGTCATTCTCACTTCTGAATAAGTCCAACTTGATCTCATTGTTTGTTGAACTATCATATTATGGAGCACCAGGTCTATTTGGAACAGAAGCTGGAATCAAATATCCTATTGGACTCCATTATGATTCACCAACTGCATTGATTGCTCTGTATCTAAATCTGTAAACCTTTCCAAATTCCAACCCAGTTACGGTAAATTCATTTGCTAGTGAAAGGTTTTAGTAGCTTCCAATAACATCAAAGAAACCTGTGCCATCTGCTGAAGTCCTTTGAAGATGGTATGAAATAATAGGAGTTCCTCCATTTTATGCTACTACATTGTATTTCACTCTTATTTAAGTGCTATTGGTTTCATCTTTATTATAATTAGGAGCTGCACTAGGTGTGCTTGGAATATTTGCTGCTACAGCTGTAATCACATTGCCGATTACTGATCCTACATCGTTTTTAGCTGAAACTTAAATTCTGTATCTATAACCTAGTGTCAGTGCTATTGAAATGGTATATCTAAATGTTGATGGGCCTATAGTAGATGATAGAAGATTGAAATTTCCATTCTATCCATCATCTATAGAGACTTGATAGGATTGTATTGTACATCCTCCATCATCTAGTGGCTATCTCCATCCAACTACTATATCAGTATCATTTGTACTTCTTAGATTAATGCTCTTAAAATTAGAGGGGACATCACAAGCTGATCTTGAATTAGATGCTGATAAAGATGAAGGACCATTAAAATTTAAGACCTCTACTTTGTAAGTGTATAGCGAACCTGATGTTAGATTTGAATGAGTGTAACTAAGTTTGTTAATATTACCATCTCCATCATAGATCAAAAAGTAGTCTCCATTTTTACCTAAATCTGAATACAATCTATATCCTGTGACTGGAGTATCAACTGAAGTTCCTAATAACCATTAAATTGTTATTGAAGTTCTATTAGATCTTAATGGATCAAAAGTAGGTTATGCAGGTGTGTTTGGCTTTCTAGCAATTGCAACTTAAAGTTGATTAGAATCCTCGCTTACGCCCACTGAGTTCTCTGCTACATATTTAAAAGTGTATATCAATCCAGTTTGTATAGTATTAGTAGAGAAAACATTACCAACACTTATAGTCATTGTCAAACTACTTCCATCATAAGTGGTTACCTTAAAGAAATTAGATCCATCTGAGCCTTAATTAACATAGAGTATGTATCTCGATATACTACTACCTCCATCATCAACAGTTTCGCGAAGATTTAATTTAACCTGAGTTTCATCAACAGATTACACCTCTGGTCTTGGAGGCGCCAATGGGACAGTAGATGCTGATATATATGATACATCACTCCATGGCCCACTTCCAATGGAGTTAATTGCTCTATATTTAGCTCTATATATTTTTCCTTTTATTATTCCATCTGAGACTATGACTTCGGTGTCAAGAGTATTTTCACTTTAACCTAGCACAGTTTTAAATAAACCGTTGTTTCCATCATCGATCTGAATTTAGTATCCAATAATTTCAGTTCCCCCATTGTAAGTGCTATTCAGTTCAAGAATGGTCAGCTTCAATTTAGTTCCATCAGATTCATCTCGATTAACTTAAGGTGAACTAAAAGGCTTACTTGGAATATCTGCAATAATGAATGCAGCAATATTAGAAAGTGATGAATATTCGATATTGTCCACTTCTAGTTAGAATCTAAAAACTTTGCCCTTATCTGTTGATGGGAATGTAATAGTATATCTATTCAGGAAAGGTTTTGAATTAATGCTTGAGGCATCAACTTCTGTCGATATTGCTCCATTGTTCCCTATATCTCTAAATAGTCTATAGCCTGTAATGGGGCAACCTCCGTCATCAGAAGGAGCAGTCCAACTTAAAGTCAAAGTTGTGGAAGTACCTCCTGTTCTAACAGGCAATTTCGGTTAGCTCGGAGCAATACAGGAATATACTGTTAGAGTATCACTAAGTACAGATTCTCCATTGAAATTCACTGCTGAAACTTTGAATTGATATTGATATCCAGTTAAAAGTGGACTGACTGAGAATGATCTCTAGAGTGGATTAAGTTCTCCATTGTATTTCAAGAAATAGACACCTGTTCCATTGCTCATATAAAGTTTATATCCCTAAATAGGAACCTATGTATTTGCTGATTATTACCATAATACTGTAATTGCTTCTTTTGATGACTAAGATAGATCCTTACTAGGTTTATTTGGCTTAGATGGAGGAGATGCTGCGGCATATCTAACTTCTTCTGAGAACTACGAGTAATCAATGATATTTTTTGATCTATACTTAAAGGTGTATATTGTCCCTGAGGCTATTCCATTATCTAGAAATGTTAGAGTATGTGTCGTCGAGGTACCATCATAAGTTGTGACTTTATCGAATGTTGATCCAAGGGTACCATTATCGATGTGCAATTCATACACAAGGATTTTGCTTCCTCCATTATCAGGGGATTGATAGAACTATAATTGAATCGATTCATTTGTAGCACTCATTAGTGTTGGAGCTGGAGGTGCAGATGGATAAGTTGCTGCCAATGCATATAAAGATTCAGAGAAATTGCTCCATCCTGCTCCATTTTATGTTCTGTATATAAGTCTATAAGTCCTGCCTCTTATAATGTCAATTAAGTCACTCTATTATGAATTGATTGTGTACTAAGTAATAAGTGATGAAGGGCTAAATCCTCCAACAGAAGTATATGGACCGCCTTCTCCATCATCTATTTAAAGTTCATAAGAAATGATAGCACTGTTTCCATTGTTGGCATCATCTATTAGAGGCAATGTTACTGTTATCTATGTATCATCTGTCAATTCTTTGATTAGTTGAGGAGGAAGTGAAGGAGTTATTGGAGCTCCCGCCAATATGATTGATCCAAAGTTTGAATCAGTTGAACCTTCTCTGTTGAAAACTCTAATCATAAATCTAAATCGAAGCCCAGTTGAACCAACAAAATTAGTGACAACTAACGATCTCATAGTAGGAATGAGTCTAACTGCAGGATCTGAATCTAAATTTACTTCTTTGGTAACTGTCCCTCCATTTCCATCGTCTCTGTAAACTGCATATCCTAGTACTGGGCATCCTCCATCATCAGCTGGTTTGTGCCATCCAACAGTAATATTGGTCGCAGTAGAAGCCAATCTCTAAGGTGCATCAAAATTTTATGGGGCATTGCAAGAATTGAAAGGGAATTCATCGCTTTCTAGTGATTAGCCATTGAAATTCAATGCAATAAGCTTGAAGATATATATACCTCCTGTGACAAGGTTAGTGATTGTTCTCTCAAGAGTCTGAGGTCTGTTTCTTCCCTCGTAGACTGTCTAGAACTCAAGACTTCCAAATTCAGCCATTTTAAGAATATAGCCAGAAGTTTCTGTTTCAGTGTCTGGAACTTTAGACCATTAAACTGTGATTGAAGTTTTGTTAGATTTCTAAGAGTTCTTTGTAATTAGTGTTGGTGCATTGGGTAAAGAAGCAGCTACTATGATTGCTTGAAAGCTATAAAGTGAGTATCCAACTGTATTCTTCGCTCTTGTAACAAATCTATACTTCCTTCCTGATATCAAACTACTCTCAGTAAATGTCGCACTTAATCCGTCATAACCTAGCATAGGAATGTTAACATTACTTGAATAATCTCCGGCATCTCTGAATAGTTAATAGTAATCAACTGTTGCTCCATTGTTATCTATTACTGGGATTATTCTTAAGGTGATCGAATTTGCATTTGAAGAGACATATTCAGGCCTTGGTGGCTGGTCTGGAACTCCTGCTACTAATAGGTAGGCATTAAGACTGAATTCTGACCAACCGTTTTCATTTTTACATCTATATTTTGCTTGAATTCTAGAACCCTAATTTAGCTACCTTTGAACTGTATAGGTTAGCTATAGATTATTTTCATCTGCTCCTTATACTGTGGTCCATCCTTCCTTATCCGAAAATAAGATTTAAAGTTGATAGGAAATGATTGGTATGCCTCCATCAGACGAAGGAGGAGCCATTACTACATCAATATATGAGCCATCTGAGAGGCTTGTAGGGGGATTTGGTTTAGATGGCACACTTGCTAGAACAATAGCCACTGTATCACTTAAGACTTCATCAACATTATTCTCTGCTCCGATTTAGATTCTGTATGTCTTGCCAACCACTCCACTGATTGATGCATCAGTCATGTCTATAGTATAAGTATCTAGGAATGGTTTATCATTGACATCATTTGGATCATACTCAGTAAATGCTCCCTGGTCTCCATCATCAACATATATCTTGTAGCCAGTGATTCCACATCCCCCATTTTATGCTGGCATTGTCCAAGTTATTGTTACTTCAGTTTAAGTGATGCCAATTACTTTTGGTGCATCAAGATTAGAAGGGCCAGTACATGGTTTGACTGAAATAATTGTGGATGAAGGACTCTCACCATTGAAGTTTATTGAAGTGACATAGAATCTGTAGGATAAAAAGGTATTCAATTTAGTTGACTGATATACATGCTCAAACACCTCTGGCATATTGTTTCCATCATAGATTAGCTTGAAATTATCATTTAGTCCTGAGTCAACATATAGCCGATATCCAAGAATGGGTAAAGTATTACCTGTAGCTCTAGTCCATCTAATTCCTATTGCTGTTCTATTTGAAAGACTGTCTACTTTTATGATGCTAGTTGGTGCTGATGGGAATGGACCAAAGGCAAATACGAGCTCATTACTGTAGGCAGAATACTGATTGTCAATGTTCTTGGCTCTAAACTTTACTCTGTATATTGTTCCTGGTGCGCCTAGGTTATCTGTAGCTTTAACTAAAACATGAGTAGTTGCAAAGCCAACAGACTTAAATGAGTTAACTTCATCAAATGTACTCAAAAGATCATTACCTTGATCTATCCACAATTCATAATCAACGATTCTAGCTCCATTATCATCACTTGATTTCTATAGCTAAAGAGTGATTGTAGTTGCACTCGCATCTTTGAAAATTGGTGCAGGAGGCGCCTCTGGAACTGAGTAAGCTTCAATATATGCAATCTCTGAGTATTCACTCCACCCATTTACATTTCTCACTCTGTACCTAAATCTGTAGATATTTCCTCTCTTAATCCCATCTCTAACAAGTAATGTAGTTTACTGTTGTGTTGTGAAGATAGTTTAGAAGTCTCCGTTATCTCCATCATCCATTTGCAACTCTAAGAGCACTATAGGACTTCCGCCATTGTCGGCATTATTGTTAACAAAATTAACCTTGATTTACTCTGTAGTGGTATTCGAAATATCTATTTAAGGTGGTGGAGCAGGCTTACCTGGGACACTGGCCATTACGAATTATACTGCTGGACTTAGAAAAGACCCATAAGAGTTGATTGCCTCAACTTTGACTCTGATTGTCTTTCCTCTATAGCTTGATCCTATTGTTGTCTCATGTTCAAAGATATAAGGCTTTTCAAATAAAACCAAGGGATCAACTGGGGTATCAATCAGTCCACCATTTCCTAGATCTCTGTACAATGCATATCCTGTGATAGGACATCCTCCATCTTGCTTAGGTAAATCCCAAGTTATTTTGAACATGGATTCAGTTACTGAAACTAAAACTGGAGCATCCATTCCAGAAGGAGGCACACAAGATATGTAAGATCTTATTGCACTGCTGTATCCAATCCCATTGATATCAAGGGCACTAACTTTGAATCTATAGGTCCTGCCTGAAGTAAGCCCTGTAATAAGGATATTTACTTATTAAGGATTTAGACTTCCATTGTAAGCTACCCTAAAATCTCCTTTTAATCCATCATCGATGTAGAGTATATAGCCTTTAATTGGAAGTTTTGCTGTGGTTACTGCACCCCAGCTTATGTACATAGAAGTAGCATTTGACTAAGAAATGTCTTTCAAAGGATCACTAGGTGCTGGAGGTTTATCACTGACTCCTGCTATAAGTTCATTAGATTTCTCAGAATCCCCAAAGATATTGTTAGCAGCATATACAAATCTATATATTCTACCTAGCAAAATTCCTGCATCAGTTCCAATCACTGCTTTGTACTAGCCTGATTTCCCATTGTAGAGTGAGAGTTGATGATAACCACTAGTAAAATCATTGCCATCATCTGCAAATAATTTGTAAAGTAAAATTGGAGAGCCACCGTCATCTAATGTTTGAGAAAATTATAGAGTAATACTTGTATCATCACTCTCTATATACTAAGGAGCTGGAGGTGCTGCAGGCTTATTGGCAGCCTAGATAAATGATTCATCAGAGAAAGGACCCCAACCTACATTATTTCTTGCTCTATATCGGAATCTGTATAGCATGCCTTTGGTTATATTCTAAGTAACAACATACCAAAGCTTTAGGTATTCTTGATCGTACCCTACTAGACTTAAGAAGTCTCCTCCTTTGCCATCATCAATCTATACTTCATAACTAATTATATCATTGCCACCATCAGATGAAGGTTCAGTAAATGTTACTCTTATTTGGTTTGAATCAGTAATCGAGAGATCTACTGCAGGTGCTGCTGATGGCTTTGAAGGTACATCTGCTAATAGAATTGATGTTAATGAACTGCTGATTGACCCTATCTCATTTTTAGCTAGTATACTAACTCTAAAGTACAACCTACTTAATGATCCATCGAATGTTAATAAGTGCGATCTAAGGTAGGGCTTATTATCTATTGTTGCTGCATCTACTTTTAAGAGAGTTCCACCGCTACCATTATCTACATATAATTCATAGCCTGTTATTGGGCAACCTCCAGTGTTTACTGGAGAGGTCCATTATAGTTCAATTGTTGTCTCAGTAGTTGAAGTAGCATAAGGAGCTGATATATTAGATGGTGCGGTACAAGCTTTGAATGTTGCTGGAATTGATTATGGACTTGGACCATTAAAGTTATATACTACTACTGAGAAAGTATAAGATGCACCTGTGGTCAGATTAGAATATAGATAGTCTAGCACATTTGGATTAGATTTGCCATCATATATTAATGACTATGTTTCACTTTATTGATCAATTAAGTACAGCTAAAAGCCAGTGGCTGGCTATGTATCTGTTGGCTAAGCCCATAATACTTTAATTGAAGAGACAGTTGAAAAACTTTGATCTTTAGTTACCTTGGCTGGCTAGCTAGGAAGTGGAGCTATTGCAGCAGGTAATTCTTCTGAGTATTCTGAATCTCCATAAATATTGACTGCTTTGATTCTAAATCTATAGCTCTGATATGAAATGATGGGGTCGTTAGCTGTGTTTAGAGTATGTGACATAGAGCTTCCATCATATGTTGATACTGGAGACCAAGACGTACTCTTGTAGGGTGACATTTCCAAAACATAATTAGTTATAATAGAGCCTCCATCATCTGGACTCTGAGAAAATATCATATTAAGTTAAGTACTTGATGATGATCCATACAGTGGAGCAGGAGGTCTTAATGGGGCTTGAGCTGCTGCAATGTAAGAAGTATCTGACCAAGCTCCAGCACCATTAATATTCCACGCTCTGTATCTGAACTGATAAGTTCTACCTTTTTGAATGCCTGTTGAGTAAATAACAGAATTTTGGAGTGAAAAGGAATTCTCATTGCCAATAATAGATACCCATTGAGAAGTAGTCAGGTTATAAATCTAAATTTCGTAACTTATAATCTCTGAACCCCCATTCAAGCCAGAAGCGAGACTATTGTAATTGACTTGAATTTAGAATGAAGTAGTCTAGTCCAGATTGAGTGTAGGACTTGTCGGTGGCTTATCTGGAACAGCAGCTAAAACGAAGGATACTATTTCTGTTTGAATAGTTCCTATGACATTCTTTGCTTCCATGTAGTATCTGAAAGTTTTAGATAGATCTGATACTAAGAATGAGATTGAGTAAGACCTAAGAGAGGGGTTATTATTGACAATAAGTGGGTCTACTTCAACAAAGTCTCCAGCCGCAGAAGTATTCTTAAAGATACTATACGATGTTATAGAGCAACCGCCACTAGATTTTGGTGCAGACCAAGATAGAGTTTAAGAAGTCTTAGTCACTGCTTGCAGTTTTGGGACACTGAATTGCTTTGGTTTAACACAAATTATGAATGTTGCTGGATTAGATTCAACACTAAAACCATTGAAGTTTAAAGCTGATAGAGTGAATCTGTAAGATAAACTAGTAGTTACTCCTGTCATTGTATATCTTAAGACATTTGGATAGTTCTTGCCATTGTATATAACTTTATAGTCTCCACCATAGCCATCATCCATTTTAAGCACGTAGCCTATAACTGGCAATTCTGTATCAATACTAGCAAGCCATTACAATGTGATGAAAGTTTCTCCTGATTCTATCTCAACCTTAGTAGGGGGTGAGGGTTAACTTGGGAAACTTGAGACTGCTGCATCAACCTCATCACTAAGATCAGATGGCCCAAAGCCATTGATGGCTTGATACTTGAACTTGTAGATTACTCCAGCTGTTAAGGAGTATAGAGTTTTCTCAAGAACTGCTTCTGTATCTTGAACACTGTATGTTGCAACTACTGTGTAGATGTTAGAGGTACCTCCTGAGTTTTTGTAGAGCTTGTATTAAGTGATTTCACTTCCTCTGTTATCAGTTGATTGAGAGAGTATCAAAGTTAGGAAAGTAGCATTTGCTGACTTGAATTAAGGTGCTGGAGGTCTCACTGGTATAGTTGCTGCTTTTATATAGGTGATTGGAGACCATTCAGACCTTCCATTAGTATTCTTCGATCTGTACCTGAATCTATAGGATCCTCCTTTCTGAATCCCACTAGCAATTGTGAAAGTTGTTTCTAGAGAGTCAGCACTTCCACCTATCAAAGTGTAGAAGTCTCCTCCCTTGCCATTGTCGATCTACAACTCATAACTGGTAATTTCACTTCCTCCATTAGCAGAGAATAGTTGTGGACCATAATTCACTTTGATGTGTGTACTATCTGTTACAGATGCATCTGACTATGGTCCAGTCAAAGGTTGATCTGGAACTGCAGACAAGACTACACTCAATGGGTTACTGTCAGTGTACCCTGCATTGTTGTATGCTCTGATCTTAAATCTAAATGTCTTTGATACTGGAGATAACCCTGAAATCGTGTATTGTCTTAAAGATGGCTTGTTTTGGATGTTTGATGGATCAACATTCACTGTTAGTGCATCAGTATTGCCAGTATCTCTGTAAATCTCAAATCCATTAAGAGCACAGCCATTTGTAGAAGGCTCTTACCATGAAATAGTGATGGATGTATTAGTAGTTGAAACTTTTGTTGGAGTAAGGACTTCTGTAGGTTTCAAGCATGCATATATTGTGGTTATGTCACTGCCCTCTGATTCACCATTGATATTAAGTGCAATCACATAGAATCTGTAAGGGAGACCTGTAGTCAAATTCTGGGCTGTGTATTTTGCAATATTAGGATAGTTGTCACCATCATATATTAGCTAATAGTTACCATTAAATCCATCATCTATATAGACCCTATATCCTGTGATATGAACATCATCTGCTGGGATTAACTTAGTCCATTGCACAGCAATAGATGTAGTTGTACTCTCCAACTCAATCTTAGTAGGTGCAGTTGGTTTGCTAGGCAAAGCTCCTAGAGCTGCTCTTGTTTCTTCAGAGAACTCAGAATCCCCATAAAGATTAGTTACTGATATCTTGAATCTGTATGTTGTCCCACTTACCAGACTGTGAGTAGTCTTAAGTACAACATAGTTCAAGGAGTTTCCATAGTAAACTTGCTAGAAGTTTGGTACTGCTTAAATTGTGTCCATCATAAGTCTATAGTTCTAAATTACAGCTCCACCATTGTCATCTGGAGGAATGAATTAAAGTGAGATAGAGTCTACATCTGATTCAACATAAAGTGGTGCTTAAGGCTTATATGGTTTTGAAGCTGCTCTGATATAGCCTATTGCACTCCATTCTCCCCAGCCATTAAAGTTCTGAGCTCTGTACCTTACTCTGTAAATGTTTCCTCTTACAATTCCAGACACCACAGTAATACTAGGACTCAAAGTATAAACACTAGTGTAAGGACCTCTATACCCATCATCATATTAAATCTGATAGTTAAGTATAGCACTTCCTCCATTGTTGGAACTAGTGAAAGTGTTGATAAGAATCTTTAGCTAGTATTGATTAGTTCCATCTGGATCTGCATAAGGTGTAGTTGAAGGCTGATCTGGTAAAGATGCTAGAGCAACTGAAAGTGCGCTGGTCAATGCAGAACCAGCATTATTGATAGCTTCAATTCTAAACTTATATATTCTTCCAACAACTCCAACAGGGGTTGTTATTGTGAGATTAACTTCATGACTTTAAATGCTAGGATCATTAGACACCATTGAGGTAATTTGATTTGTAATTGATCCTCCTTAACCATTATCCATATAGATCTTGTAGCCTAAGATAGCACATCCTCCTGTATTCTTTGGTAAAGTCCATGCTATTAGAATCTTTTTAGTTAGCTAATCTGATCTCACATAAACTGGAGTGCCGAATCCTGAAGGTGCTTGACATGAGTAAAACGTAGCGATTGGACTTTGAGCTGAGTTGCCATTATCATTAATTGCTTATACTGTAAATCTATATGGCAACCCTGTAGTTAAATCACCCACAGTAAATGTTAAAATGTCTGGTCTATTGTATCCAATGAAAATGGCCTTGATGTCACCATTTTTTCCATCATCCATATTCAAGATGTATCCTGTGATATCAAGATCACTTGCTGCAGGAGCAACCCATTATAATTTGATAGATGTTTCTGTTGATTGAATGATTGTTGGAGTTGCTGGTGTATTTGGAACTCCTCCAAAAGCAATGTAAGATTCATCACTAAATTCTGAATAATCTATTCCATTCTTTGATCTGGTCTTGAATCTATATGTTTTGCCAATGACTAAGCTGTCAGTAGCAACTGTTGCCCCGTAGTTGAATGTTAGACCATTATAGCTTGCTAACTTTCTGAAAGTTGAAAGGAAATTATCTCCTTGATCTACATGGAGTTCATAGTATTAAATCACTGATCCTCCATTATCTTCCGACTACTGAATGAGTATATTTAGAGTATTGGTTGCTTAGTTAAAACCATTGAAGAGGGGCTTAAGCGGAGGCGATGGAATTGTTGCTGCTAGAATAGAGGATTCATCTGAGAAAGCACCCCAGCCAATAACATTTCTAGCTCTATATCTGAATCTATGCTCTCTGCCCTTTACTATACCCTCAGTGATAGTGAATGTAGTCAATAGTGAATTGATAGAGAAACCAACAATAGAGTTAAAATCCCCACTCATACCATCATCCATTTATAATTCAAAACTAATAATTGCAGAGCCTCCATTATAAGGAGCTGGATTTGCGAAATTAACTTTAATTCTAGATGATGAAGTAATAGTAATGTCTGAAGTAGGTTTATCAGTAGGTTTGCCTGGAACTGATGCCTTAGTAATGTATCCAACATCAGAAAAAGCATCTCGCTAAGTTGTGAAAACTTTAATCTAGAATCTAAATGTATAACCGTCTGTGGTGCTTGGAAAATTAGTCACAACTAATGTATTCAAACTTGGTAGTCCTCTTACACTTGGATCATCATCTAAGTTGACTTCAGTTGTTATTGGTCCATTTGATCCATCATCTCTAAATACAGCATAGCCAGTTATTCTACAGCCACCAGTGTCTTCAGGCTACTGCCATTGAATAGTTACAGATGTAGTTGACTGCAACAAAACTGTAGGAGCCGCGAAATCAGTTGGAGCGCTACAAGCGTAGAATTAACTCACTGGACTTGCTATAGACTTTCCATTAAAGTTTACTGCATAGACCCTGAAACTATACCTAAGTCCATTTATTAACCCTGTTTTTAAATAACTTAAGACTCCTGGCTAGAAGGAACCATCAAATACAGTGGTAAATTAGCCTCCTTTACCATCGTCCATTTCCAAGATGTAACCTACAATTGGTGATGATGGATTTGCTACTGCTGTCCAGTGAATGTACAAAGAAACTTTAGATGAATAAATCCAATCTACCATTGGAGCAGTTGGCGCTACTGGCAAAGTACTTGCAGCTACAGTCAATGTAGAAGATCTTTAAGACTCTCCATAGGAATTATAGGCTGCAAATTAGATTCTGTATTTCTTTCCAGCTGTGGGTACAGGCATACTGTGTGAAGAAGATACTCCATCGTAGGTAGTGTCTTGAATGTTTATAGGGGTTGAAAGATCTCCGCCATCTCTATATAAATAGTATCTAATGATCTTGCTTCCACCATTATTAGAGCTTAGTCCAAATGCAAGACTAATAAATGTATCATTAGAGCTTTAATAAATTGGTTTAGGTGGTGCTTCAGGAATAGTAGCTGCATTAATCTGAGTAACAGGAGACCAACCTCCATGACCTACTGCATTTATACCTCTATATCTGAATGCATAAGTCTTTCCTTTTTCAATATTCTTGGTAACAACAAAGTACAAAGATAGAGTCTAAGGATCGAGACCCGATATTGATACAAAATCTTTCAAGATAAACGACCCCATTTATAATTCATAGCTGAGTATAGGGGAGCCTCCATTATCAGTAATCTGATTGTAAGTCACTTTGATTTGGAAAGCATTTGTTATGGTGCTGTCAGAAACTGGACCTAATAAAGGAGTACCTGGAACGCTTGCTAGCGTCATTGGTGCTGATATCTGACTTTCAACTGAGCCTTGAATATTATAGGCTATTACCTTGAATCTGAATTTACTGCCTACTATTGCAGATACAGGGAAGGAAGTGCAAGTGAATGTGAAAGTATATGGATCATTTCTGACATATGTTGGAGCTGGATTTACTTCAGTAAATGTTGTACCTGATCCATTTTCATCTCTGTACACTGCATAGTCATACACTTCACATCCCCCATTGTTTTAAGGAGCAGCCCATTTTATTTTTATTGATGTTTGATCTGATTGAATAAATTCAGGTGCTGCAAAGTCTGTAGGAACTCCACATGCATAGACACTGATTATGTTGCTTGGATTGCTTAAACCATTGAAGTTAACACCAAAGACTCTTAATTTATATTGCTATCCTGTTGTCAGGCCATATAGTGTAAAACTTAGTGCATCTTGGTTGTACCTAGCATCATAGACTGTATTCCATTTATTTCCTTCTAGCAACTAGACTATGTAGCCTAAAGTTACTAGATCTGCATCAGCGACTCTTGACCATTTAATAGTTATGTAAGATGAGCCAGTTTTAGTCAAATCTTGTGAAACTGTTGTTGGGGGTAGAACTTTTGCTCCAAAAGCAACTCTTAGTATATCTGAGTATTCAGAGAAACCAATAACATTCCTTGCTCTGAATCTGAATGAATAAATCTTTCCCACAATGAGACCGTCACTTGTAATAATCACAGCACTTAGTTAGTTACCACTATACGATGCTACTGGTATGAATAAAGTGTTAAGATTTCCTTGATCCATCTCAAGTTAGTAACTAGTAATCTCTGAGCCACCTTAATCAATTGGAGAATAAAGTTCTAATGAAATATATGTATTGGTAACATCAAGGACATTAGGGGCATCTGGTTTAGATGGGACATCAGAAGCATGTAGATAACCGGAATTAGAAAACTCTCCCCATCCATTTACATTTCTAGCTCTGTACTAGTATCTATATGTCCTTCCTCTAATAACATTGTAATCTAGGTATTAAAGTGCTAAAACATTGTCTACTGAATATATCCTGAAGAAATCACCATTCTTGCCATCATCTCTCCATAAGTCATAGCCTGTTATAGGACTTCCTCCAGCCATTCCAGTTGTGAATGCAGCGTAACTTAATTTTATTTGAGTGCCACTTGATTCTTAGTAAATTTGCTAGACAATTGTTGATGGTTTGTCAGGTACTGCAGCTAGAATAATTGATGAGACTGCACTTTCAACATATGATATATCATTGTATGCTCTAATCTTGAATTTGTATGGCAACCCTAGTTAATCTAAGGTTGGAACATTGTAACTATTCAAGTAAGGCTTTCCTCTAATGTTATTATCATCAACTAGAGTGGTAGGATTAGTTCCATCTCCAGCATTAATATACAATTCATAGGTATATATTGGGCAACCTCCATCATAATCTGGAGGATTCCAGCCAACAAATATACTTGTCTTTGTTGAGGAGATATATTTAGGCTCTGAGATAAATGTTGGGGCTAGACAAACCAAAGCTTGTAATTCAACCGAAAATGGGCCTTTGCCATTGTAGTTATTTGCTTGAACTTAGAAGGAATATGATTTTCCTGTTTGAAGTCCAGTCACATTAAATGACCTAGTATCAGAATTCAATGAACCGTCATAGATAACTTTAAACACTCCAGATCCCTTTTCACTCATATACAGAATATAACCATCGACCTGAATATCTGCAGAAACTAATGCATCCCAATAGATATAGAGAGAAGTGAGGGTTGATTTAGTGATATCTCTCATTGGCTTATTAGGGGCAAGTGGTAAGCCAGCTAATGCTATTCTTACTTCATTACTTGGCAGACTTTCTCCAATCTCATTCACAGCTGTGATTTTAAATCTATATAGACTACTAGTAGTATAATTAGTAAAGACATTTGCATCAAGAGTGTATGTCAACTCAGTAGTTTACTCTAAATGCTTGAATAATGAAGTGGAGAGACTTCCATCATCAGTATAGATCTGATAGTATAATATCAAGGAACCTCCATTATCTTCTACATCAGTCCATCCGATTGTGATCTTTTTGCTTGTAGAGCTAAGATACTTAGGTGCTTCTGGTCTTCCGGGCACATTGGCTGCTTTAATCTTAATACTATAAGGACTAAATTCTCCATCACCAACTCTGTTTAGTGCACTAACCCTGTATTAATAAATATGGCCTGCAGTTAATCCATTGATAGTAAAGCTAGTCACTGTGGGAATACTACTTCCATCATATATCAAATATTCTCCTCCTGTAGTTACATTACTTTAATAGAGTTTATAACCTAGAACAGGTGATCCACCATTGTAAGTAAGGCTCCATTAAATGGTTATTGAATGCTTTGATGAGCTTACCTTTGTAGGAGCATTTTATACAGTAGGGGTAGAAGCAAGAATGAAAGTGTTTCGAACCGAAAATGCTCCATCACCTTTATTAGAAAGTGCCCTGACTTTGTATTGAACATCATCAGTGCCTGTTATTCCATTATGAGTTAAGGTTAGAGTATTTATATCTGTAATTCCAACTTATGTCCATTGGGTTTCATCTTAATTTGATTTCTTGTATTAGACTTCATATCCTGTTATGGTAGCTCCACCATTATCAGAGGGTGGTTCCCAACTAATCTGAACTGAAGTTAAGGTGGAATCGACAAGTTGTGGCTGCGAGGGTGCATTAGGGTAATCTGCAGCAATGAATTGATTTACATTGCTGTCTATGCTTTCTCCAACTAAATTTAGAGCTGTGACTTTGAATCTATAAAATCTTCCTGCTACTAATCCTTATTTCTCATAGGTCAAAGTTGATGGGTAATTAGAACCATCATAGACAAGCTCCCATCTATCAGAAAGTAGATCATTCATATATACTCTGTAGCCAGTGATAGGAGACCCGCCTGTGTTAGCGTTAGTAATAGCATTCCAAGCAATTGTGATAGTAGATCTAGAAGATGATTCAAGTGTTGGTTGGCTAGGTGGGTTTGGCTTTGTTGCACATACATAATATGAGGCATCAGAATAATCGGATGCTCCAACATTGTTTACAGATTAAATTCTTATACCATATGTCTTCCCACCTGTTAAACCTGTGAAGGGGTAATTGAGTACATTCAGATTTGTATATGTGATTGAGGGATTCGTTGGCCAATTTCCAGCACCATCATCAATCCATAGATAATATGATATGATTTGATTACCTCCTATGTAACTTGGTGCAATCCAAGAAACGGTTATTTTTAAATCATCAAGACTTGATGATACATAAGCTGGCTTAGAGGGTTTATCTGGAACTGTTCCTACAAGGACTGACAAAGTCCCAGGATTTGTTGAAATATAGATTGCATTTCTTGAATAAAGCCTGAATTTATAAGTCTGCCCTGTTGTCATTCCAGTGACTTCCATTTATATAACTTCAGGTTTTCCTGTACCATTATAGATAAGGCTAAAGGGACTTCCATCTACTCCTTCATCTCGGTAGAGCACATACCCTATAATAGGAGAGCCACCATTATCAGAGTGAGGCTTAAATTAAAGTTCAAATGATGTGAGTGTTCTTGAGCTTTCAACAGCTGTTAGCACTGGTGCTGTTGGTGGATTTGCTGCCATTAACTAGACTTCATCACTGAACTATCCTTTTCCTAGGATATTAGCTGCAGCTACTTTGAATCTATAATATTTTCCCTCGTTGTTTGGTTGAGAGATGGATTTAGTATACGAAAGCAGAAGAGTGTTATCAACCTCAGCTTGATAAATGAAATCACTATTATCAAAGATGATTTTATACGAAGTTATGGCTAGACCGCCAGTATCTGAAGGAGGTTGATAATCAATTTTCAATTCAGTTTGAGATTACTTTGAGATTGTTACTACGCTGATTACTACTGGTAAAGAACCAGCAATTGAAGTTAAGACTTATGACAAAGGACCATCGCCAGCTCCATTGGTAGCATAGATCTTGTAGTTGTATGACTAACCAGGTATCAAATTAGCATCAGTATAAGATAAGTCTGTCCCTTGATAGATCTTGTAGAAAACTCCACTTCCAATATCTTTGATAATTGTATAATACTTAATGGGACTGCCATTCAATGCTGGTGCAGACCATTTAAGTTTGTTCTTTGCTTTCTCATAATCAAAGTTTTACTGGGCAAATGTAGTTATCTGGCCAGGCACATTGGCTATGATATGTGTGATAGAATCAGAGAAATTAATAACATCACCAGGGAAGAGATTGGTAGTATACAAGATGTTAACTGCTGCTATTCTGAATTAATACATTGCGCCTTGTACTAATCCAGAATAAGTAAAGGTGTTTGTTCCAACATTAATGAGGTTTCCTGGCTAAATAAAACTAGTGTTATATCCATTATTAATTTAAAGGTAGTAGCCAGTGATGGCAGAACCTCCAGTTAATGATGGAGTTGTCCATTGTAGAGAAATACTCTAGGTGGTGTCTACTACAGATGTGACTGTTGGTGAGTCCATCTTAAATGGAAGAGTAGCAGCTATTACAGTGAGTTCATTGCTATACACTGAGTATGCTTTTTCATTCCTTGCATACACTCTGAACTTATAAGTTGAACCTTAAGTAAGACCCTAGAATTTGTAAGTTTTAAGGCTAGGGTTTGTTGAACCATCATATTGAACCTAGTAAGTGTTGGAGTCCTTTGACACTTCTACTTTGTATCCTAAGATCGGGATGCCACCATTGTCATAAGGTTCATTCCAAGCAATCTAAATGTATGGTGTTTGTCCAATTGAAGTATCTCCTCCAGATCTGTCAACAAAGGTTGGAGCTTCAGGAGCGTTTGGCACTTAAGCGAATTGAACTGTTAGGATATCAGTATACGGGCTTAAGCCAATTATATTCTAAACTTGCATTCTGTACCTGCAGATAGTTCCTGGTGTAATGCTAGATATTACATATTAAGTGAGAGTTGTGGTCTTCAATAATGTAGTTGAGAATGCCCCGTTTCTACAGTCATCCATTTGAAGTATATAGACTAGATCTGTTGTGGAGTATCCTTTATCTGCACCTGAAGTGTGCAGTGTCCATTGAATGGTCACTCCAGTTTTTGATAGTCCACTATAGGTCAAGCCACTAACAGTATGAGGTAGCTCACTCGAGTAAAAGGTAATAGTTGGACTCCAAGGTCCTGTGAGAGTGAAGTATTCTGTAATATAATTAGTAGCTCTTACCTTAATTCTGTATTCTTATCCTGCTACAAGTCCTTCGGTAGATGTAAATTGATATTCATTGCTGTTTATAACAACAACTGACTTTAGGTTAGAGTCTGAATACCTGAGGATTTGAATTTCGTATGACGTAATTGATGTTCCTCCATTATCAAATGGTTCGTTCCAGTAGAAGTGAATCAACTCAGAAGACTCTTCAATTAAGATTGGAGCTCCAGGAGATGAGGGTGTAGTTCCACTCATCATATATTATATTGTAGAGAAATCGCTTTCATAGCCAATCGCATTCTTTGCCTTTAATTTGAATCTATACATCAAGCCTGGAGTCATGTAATTCACTGTGTAAGTTGTCAAGGATTGAGAGATCACTAATGAGAAGTCCCCATTGTAACCATTGTCCTAATAAAGATCATATGATGTAATAGAGATTGGTTATAATGAAGTACCACCAGTGTCATCACCAATTAGAGAACTCCATGATACTGCTAAGGTATTTCTAGTTGAGCTAGCAAAGGTGATAAGACCTGGTCTTACAGGTTCAATACCTGCATATGTTATAATCTACTCAGACCATTCTGAACTTCCAACTAAGTTAGTGCATTTAATTCTAATTAAGTATTGACTTCCTGGTATAAGTCCAGTAAATGTATAACTCATTGCAGAAGAGGATAATATTACAGGTGTTTCTAACAAATTCGTCATATCATAAATGCCTAAGGTATATGAAATTAGTGGTGAACCTCCATTAGTTTTGGGTGCATCCCATAGAACCACAATCTAGTCCTTATACCTTAAAGTTGAACTCTTTCTTAAATTTAGTGGAGTTGAAGGGCTGATGGCAGTAAGTGCTTAAGCACTTGGACTGAAGCGAATAGAGTCGCAATCAAACATATTGTTCTAATCATAAACTATGTTTCTTCCTGCATACTTAATTCGATATGTTCTTCCACTTTTAAGATTGCTGATAGTGATTTCGGTATTAAGTGAATCTTGGATCTAAGTAAAGCTTCCTCCAAGACCATCATCAATCATAACTAGATAGCCTGTAATAGGAGAGCCTCCATTATCTATGATTGGAATGGCTGTAAGTTTAATCGTAACAGAAGTTTAAGTCAATGTTAGAATAATTGGAGCATTGACTGGGGCTTCAGGTAAATCTGAAGCTATAATGTAAATGTAATCAGTTTAAAGACTCTCTCCAATAGCATTAAATGCTGATATTTTAAACTTGTATGATTGGCCGCTAGTTATACCTGATGATTAAGTATGCTGGTTAATTGTAGGGTTTGATTTTGCAGGAGCAGTTGTGATCTCAGAGTATGAACCACTTCCTATAGCCATGTATATTTTATATCCCTGAAGTGATAGACCTCCATTACTTAATGGGGCATCCCATTTGAATGTGATTTAGGTGTCACTTCGCATAACTAGGTCGAGATTCAATGGAACAGATGGGGCAAGTGCTGTGATCAATGTTGTGGAAGCTGAGCTCAAAGCACTCATTCCTGCACTATTCACTGCTCTAACCTTGAACTAGTAATTGAATCCTGAGTTAAGCAGAGTTGCTGTGTAGCTTGTACTTTTACCTGAATAGATCTCTTTGTATTGTGACTCAAACTCAGCCTTTATATATAGAATGTATCTTTGAACCTCTGAATCTCCGTCAGATATAGGAGCAAGCCATTGAACTGTTAATGAATTCAAGGTTTTAGTAACAAGAGTGGGTGCAGTCAGACCTGAAGGAATTGTGATTGGTTGAACTTAAAGATGGATGCTTGGATCACTCTCTCCACCAAGTGAATTATATGCAGTTAGAGTATAGCAGTATAGCTGACCTCCATCGACTGACGAATCAGTATATTAAAACTAAGAAGCTGAAACTGTTGTTAACAGTATTGGATCATTATCTGAGTCTGAGCAATCTTGCCTATATATCTTGAATCCATTTAATGCTTAGCCTCCATTATACACAGGCTGCTCCCAACTGAAAGTTACATAGGTGTTATCATATGAATTGATAACTAAATTAAGAGGTTCACTTGGCCTATCAACTATTAAGAAGAGATATAAATTGGACCATGGACCATCGCCAACCAAGTTAGTGGCCTTAATTTTAAATGTGTATTCCTCTCCTGGACTTAGGTCAGTGATAACTGTTGTCAACTGAGAGCCAAAGTATACAACTAAATCATCTTGGTTGTCTGTTACCTTAACCATTGTGTAGGAGATTATTGAAGAACCTCCATCACTTGAAGGGGCAATCCAGTTGAGGCCAATGCTTGTTCCAGTTCTTGAATTTGAAACTTCAGTGATAGCACCAGGTGCGAGAGGTAAACCAGCAGCTCTTGCAGTTAGAATATCACTTGCAGGCCCTTCTGATGGATTCAATCCAGTAACCCAAAATTGATAGTCCTCATTTAGCACTAACGCTGTAATTGTGGCTTGAACTATTTGTGGATTGCTTGTGCCATCATATGCAAGAGATTGAACTCCAGTACTAAATCTCTTTTGATAGAGCTTATAGCCAGTTAGAGGCACACCACCTGTCTCAAGTAATGGGTTCCAGCTAAGTACTATTGTTGCTGTAGAAACAGAAGCCATATTAGAGGAAACTACTTTTGGGATTAATGGAGTTCCTGGCTTTGACATTGAGTAAGAAGACACTTCTACTGATAATGCACCTTCTCCAACATCATTCACGGCTGTTACTTAGAATCTGAAAAGAGTTCCTATTGGGAGATTTATAGCAGTATAGAAGTTCTAATTATATGAATTAATCTCTGCCAGAAGAGTGAAGTCTCCTGAAGATCTATATCCTTCATCCCAATATACTCTATAAGAACTTATAGCAAGCTATGTGAGTAAAACAATTGTGGGCTAGTTCCATGTTACCTTGATGCTTGTTTTTGTCTTTTCTGGAAATGGTTCACTTGGGAATGTGATTGTAGGTGGTAATGATGCTGCTATGTACTCTGAAATATCAGAGTAAACACTTTATAAATTTTGTTCACTTATTGCTGCAACCTTAAATCTATAAGAATACTTGGCTTGCAAGCCTGAGTTTTTATTGAATGTTAGAGCGTTGCCTGTGTAGATAAGAACCCAGTTCTCTATATTAGAAACACCTACTCCCTCTACTTCATCCATATAGAGCTGATATTACTTTAATGGGGAACCACCATCATCGTATGCTGGATCCCACTTGAGTTCGATGTTAGTTGAACTTGATGTAACCATTTTTGGTGTACCAGGTTTACCTGGAATAGTTGCTGTGAAGCATGTAAGCAAGGTTGAGTTTGCTCCATTTCCGGCTTTGTTAATAGCATATGCTAATATCTTGTAATTAGTTTAAGCTTGCAAGTTTTAAACAGTGTAGGCTAATATAGATGGATTATTTGCACCATTGTATGCTATCTTATAGTCTCCATCTTTTCCATCATCTATTAAGATAACATATCCAGTGATAAGTGAATTCGTAGGTGGAGTTACTGCAACCCAACTAAGTGAGCATGAATCTCTTGTGGTAGATTACAATGAAACAACAGGTGCAGTTGGTGTATCAATAGCCCAGAATGTACGCGATAATGAGTTTAAGCCCTCCCCAATTGAAGTAACGGCAGTTATTGAAATTTGATAACTAGAACCAGCTATCACTGAGGTATATGTATATGAAAGTATATCTGAGCTAACAGTAGCAATCAAAGTTGTTCCTGCATAAATCTTGTAGTTGTCTAACTTTGATGCACCTCCAATATCTATTGTTGGGATCCAAGAGAATTAAATCTGATTTGACTTTGAGCTGATAAGTTTAGGAGCTTATGCAGGTGGAGATGGTAACTTTCCTGCTACTAGATTAAGGGAAGGGCTTAAGTTGCTCCAGCCAGCTCTGTTCAATACTTTGTAACTAATAAGATAGTTTTGACCACTAACTATATTGTAAATAGTAGTCTTTAAAACTGAAGGAACTGCAGCTCCATCGTAGACTAATATGTCTGGAACAGTGTTTGAATTAGGAAGATTTATGTAGATTCTGTATCCTAGTACAGTTGTAGTAGATGTACCAGGCACTGTCCATTGTAGACCAACTGAGTATTCAGTTCTAGATCCAGAAACTATTGTTGGCGCTGCTAAAGTACTAGCAACTGCACTTGCATATTGATATTAGATTCCAGAAGCTATACTTTCTCCTTTGATATTGGCTGCTGTCATCTTAAGAGAATATAACGAATCAGCTGTTAATCCAGTCACCTGATAAGATGTTGCAGTTGTTGATATGAGTGAAGATTTTGAGAAAGTTGAGAATGAATTAAGCTTGTAGTAGATATAGTAGCCAGTCAATGATGATCCACCATCAAACTATGGTGCAAGCCATGAAACTGTGATTGTTCCAGAGCCTGATGATACTACTGTGAAGTTCTATGGGGTGGTAGGTACAACAGCAGCAAAGCAAGTAATTGCAGAGGATAATGCTGATTCGCCGACTGCATTAATAGCCAATACTTTGAATTTGTAGTAATATGTTTTATTGACACCAATTGTTTAAGTATAAGTCAAGATATCTGATCTACTTGAGCCATCATAAACTAGTTTGTACTGATTAGCGTTCTCAGCCATGTAAAGTTTGTAGCCAGTGATAGGAGCACCATTACTAGTAGGAGCTACCCAGGATACTTAAATAGCAGCTTAATTCTTTTCATAGCCATTGATTAGATAAATCTTAGTCTCAGTAGGAGCAGAAGGAGTGGCAGGCACTGTAGCTACATAAAAAGTATCAATGTCGGACTTTTATCCCTCTCCATTGATATTTGATGCTGACACTTGAATATCCACTATTGCTCCAGTGGTTAAGGTAGTTGCTGTTGTATAGTAATTCTAATTAGGATCTTAAATAGTAATTGTTGAGGTTGGTGTCCCTGTTTACCCAACATCAAGATAAACAGTGAACTTAGTAATTGGTAAACCTCCATTTGAATCAGGATTACTCCATTTTATTGAGAGTGATGTGGTTGTTGAACCAGTTAGAATAACTCCAGAGATTTTCGAGGGGATAGTTCCTGCATTAATAGTAAGTTGAGTGCTGGCAAGACTCTCTCCAATAACGTTTACAGCCTTGACTGTGGCAAGATAAGTCTTACCAACTATCAGATTCTTAATAACTCCTACAGTAGTTAAAGAGTATAGTGTAGTATCAATCACTAATTGAGGTCCATTCCCACTTTAGTCATCAAGATAAACTCGATATCCCTGTGTAGAGGGATTGCTTGCTATCACAACATCGGCATCCCAGGCAATGTTTACTTAGTTCTACTGAGTTTGTGAAGTGATCCTAAGGTTAGTTGGCGCATTTGGAATTTATCCAACTACTAATACTAGATTTTCAGTGTAAATTGAAGCGCCTGCATAGTTTATTGCTTTTAACTTGTATGTAATAGAAGTTCCAATGGTCCCACCAGTTGTGATGCTGTCTGTATAGGACAATGAATCTGCACTAATGACAGCTACTAAATCAGCTCCGTTTTTATTCAGGGTATATTATATGATAGGGAGACAACCATTATCAAGTGGAGGATTCCATTTTAGCTTAAGTGAAACTGAAGGAGTCACTGTGACCATAGTTAAATTCTAGGGTGCAGTTGGCACTTAGCCAACTCTCCTTTAAGCCTATTGTGGATTGCTCTCTCCTGCAGTATTGATTGCAGTGACCCAGACATTGTAAATAACTCCACATTTAACATAATCAGAACCTATTGTATAGGTATATATATTGGCGAATTTAGATCCATCATAAACAAGAGTAAAGTCTCCGCCTTCTCCATCATCTACATATAGCTTGTAGCCTTTTACAGCATCTCCATTGGCTGAGGATGGAGCAGTCCATACAGCTGTCAAAGATGGCAGCGAAGTTGAAGTAAGAGTTAAAGCTGCAGGGACTGAGGGAACATTAGCGAAAAGGACTGTAATTGAATCTGAAATAGCGCTTTCACCTACTTCATTTGTTGAGGAGACTTACAATTTATACTGAGATCCCTAAGTTAGCCCTGTGAGTTGATAAGTATTTATATTGGGCTGCAAAGTGCTAGCAACTGCATTGTTTGAATACACCTTATAAGATTTAAGAGCAAAGCCACCATTAGAAGCAGGCATTATCCAAGAAATAGTCATCGCAGTTGAGCTGTCAAAAGTTGATACTGCAGGTGGTCTGGTTATCTTTGAAGGTACTGAAGCACTGGCCAGTGTGAGAGTAGTTCCAACTGAGAATCTTCCACAGTTTTTTGTTTGTAAGAGGAACTTATAATACTTGCTGGGTTATATATCTGGGTTTGAGATAGTGAATTAAGTTATAGTGGGCATGGTAATACCATTGTATACAATTTTGTAGCCAGGATTTAAGATGTCTTCCATTTGAATTCTGTATCCTTCAATGTTGCATCCTCCATTTGAAACTGGAGCAATCCATGATAGGGTGATTGATGACTGAGATTAAGAGACAACACTGAATGATGTTGGATCACCTGGTATGTCTGCAGTATAGAAACTTATTGCTTCGGACCAAGCTCCTTAGCCAATGCTATTGATAGCAGCAACTTAGAATCTATAAATCTACTTAGAGTTAGACAAGCCACTGAATGCCTATAATGTAACCAATGAAGTAACTTGAGCTTGGAATGCAGTTAGAGGTCCATCATCTCTTCTAATAGCATAAGAGGTAACTGCTGCACCTCCATCAAAGCTTGGCACTGTCCATTATATTGTAATACTTGTTGATGCAGCTGAGCTTAATGATGGAATGCCCATTTTTGTTGGAACACTAGCAGCAACTAATGTCAGTGATGTCTTTGGCCCCTCTCCTGCTTTATTCACTGCACTGACAGAAATAAGGTAAGATCTTCCTACGTTAAGGTTGCTAAGGGTATAAACATAGACACTAGATTCAGTACTTCCATCATACTATAGCACATTGTCTAAATAAAGCTTATAGCCAGTCACTGCTGTACCCCCATTGTCTGAAGGTAATGCCCATTAAACTCTGATTTATCCTGCAGATAGTATAGTACTGTCTATTCTTTGGAAAGTAGTCGGGACTGAGGGTACTACAGCCATTAAGATAGCAACTTCATCTGAAAGGGGTCCCTCTCCAGCAGTGTTCTAACCTGAATATTTGAATCTGTAAACTAACCCTGTTGTCAAAGAAAGTGCAGCTGTGTTGTATGTGAGTAAAACACCATTGGAAACCTTTGTTGAGAATGCCCCATCATTGCCATCGTCAATATAAATGTTATACAGAGTAATCGGTGAACCACCTGTGTTAATCAATGCATCATATTAGATAAAGATAACTGTTCTTGTAGTGCTTAATATGACATTGGCTGGGGGTTTAGGTGGCTTCTCTGGGACATCTATTGGGGTAAATGTGTAAGATGTACTATAAGAACCATAACCCATAAAATTCTAAGCTTTGACATGATAAGTGTACGAGTGACCCATCACTAGGTTCTAGTGAGTAAAAGACGTTGTAGACTGCTCTGATAAAGTCACAAACCCATTAGTTCCAAAATTTTCATTAACCTATAGGAGGTAATTGATTATTGGGGTAGTTGTTCCACCAGTCCCAGTGTTTGTTGGGATAGTCCAGGTAATTGTTAGATAGTTTGGACCATACGATGTTAGAGTAATCGTGGCAGGTGCCAATGGTAATATAGCTGGTATTAATGAAACACTAGCTGAGGGTAAACCAAAGCCTAGAGAGTTTCTAGCTAAGACTCTAATTTAATAGATAGTTCCAGCTGTGAGCCCCGTTGCAGTTCCAAGAGGAGTAGTTAATGCAGTTGCAGAATCAGCCCAAATGAGACCATTATATACTTGAATCTTATAGTCAATAATGCTTAAGAATCCATTGTCAAGAGGAGCAGTCCACTCTACACTAATGCTTGTTTACGAATAAGTAGTTGATGAACTTTATTTTAAACCAGTGGGCTCTAATGGCTCATCCTGAGCAGTGATCATGAATTTATCTCCAGAGATGGGTGTTTCTGATTGCTTGTAGTAAAACGCAGTTGATGGAATAACTTATTGGGCTTACTAAGCACTCCTCCAGAACAATGAAATCATAGCAACTCCAGTTGTCTCGTAATACATGACTCTAATTGGGACTAATTTACCTGCTACGAGTGTGATCGTCGTTGAAGTAACTAGGTGAGTATCAGTGTCGGAAGTAGAGTCTTATAGTCTGTCTATAATCATCTGATTGTTCACATAGAGTCTTACTCCATCATTTGCTTCAATGTAAAAAGTATAAGATTCAGAGTATGCTGGCAAAAGGAAGCCATTCCATTCAATGCTTACATAGTCTTAGGCAACACCAGGAATTACATCTCCACTTCCCCAGTTCATATTCACTTGAGCGTCTGTTTAGGTGGCATAAGGAGTCCCTGAGAACCATTTATTAGTATAGTATTGACCTATTAATCCACCTTGAAGTAAATAGAATGCTGAGAAACTGTATAATCCACAATTGGTAAATGAAGTTTTACTTGGAATTGTAAATGTAACAGTATATGTTGCAAGTGTTAGTGAAGTAACTGTGCCTGTGAAGTAGAGAGTCTATCCAGCACCTTCAATAACAGAGAGGATTGTCTGAGCTACTTACACTGGATTAAGATAGCTATCATAAACTTTAATTGAATATGTGTAAGCAATATCTATTGTTATTGGCTAGGTAGCAGTGAGTGTTGACTTAGAAGGGTTGGGTATGTTTGCAACTACAACTATAGTACTTGTCTTCTTGTTAGCTGTATCAGAGTTAACAATAACTTCAATGAGATAGGTTACTGATGCATCCTTGATAAGATATTAAACAGTGTAGGTTCCATCATTATTGTCAAATATTTCTATCTAAGTTATTGAGCCTATCTTCACATTTAGATTGTCACCCCCACTAGTTCTTTAGTTGTTTCCTGAATCAAATAGTGTTACTATGAAGGTTCCAACAATACCTGCTACTGCATTAGTCTTGCCTGAGCCTGTCAGAGTTGTCTTGGAGGGATCAGTGGTTGAAACTATACAGCTGATAGTGAATGGGGAGGTTGAAAGTGGATAGAGAGAACCAACTCCGTTTGGCTAGAGTTTGATTGCCATTGTATATGCACCTGCTTTTGTCAATGTATACTTTATTTGATATTCTCCATTAGCTACAGGTGTTACGGTTACAGTAGAAGTTGTGCCTGTAGGAGTGTAAGTAATGATTACTTCAAGCACATCACTCTAGTGATTTTGTTTGTTGCCAAATTTATCTCTTGCATAAAGTGTAATTGTCTCCTAAATACCAACTAATGCGATAGAGTAATCATTGTTAATAAGTCCAGTTGTGGTGGAGTTAGAGATATCTGGAATAACAGTGAAGAGGAAAGGTGTTGTTCCACTGTTTAGCCTATGGTAAAAGAATTCTGAAGGGATAACCTAAAAATCTCTTGAGTCACTCTCCCAAGACATGATTAACTTAGTTGGTCCGAGTTTCTCTGAGAATCTTAAGTTGATTTTAGACAAGGTATCCTTTGTAAGGTCAATATCTGCATACATGTTTACAGAGCCTTTTCCCTTGTAATCATTCTGAATGTATAGAGTATCATTCAGGTAGAGCTAGACATATGAAGTATTATAGGTGTCAATAAATAGCCTATATGTCTCAGTTGAAGGTGCTTTGAGAAATCCATTCCACTCAACTGAATAGTATTGAGATGGGTAGCTGGAAGCCAGCATTGCTTTGTAGCCAATGTCAAAGTTAATCTGGCTATCGATCTAGGTGTAGTAACCTGCACTGTGATTGTATAGGCTTAATAAATCTACAGAGTAGTGGAAATCTATTGACTTGAAATAGACAGCTCGAAGTCCTCCATATTAAGTCAATCTAATTATGCCTGAGTAAGATCCTGCTAGTCTCAAAGTAAAGTAAACTTCGTATAACTCGAAGAGATAGGTCACATTAGAGTTTGTAATCGATCCAGTAGCAAGATTCTTAATTTCAAACTCGAACCTCTCGTTCGTCTCAACAACAGTGTTAGAGTAGATATCCTTCGCTTAAATTCTGAATAGATTTGCATACCCTGCTGTGACAGGTGTGTAGGAAGTTGTCAGCAAACTATAACGAGCCTACACTTTCCCAACATTTACTATTATACTAGTTACAGGGGAGCCAGAGATATCAACCGACCCTAACTTAATGTTCAGTGTGTAAACATCTGCAGTTTGCAAAAGATAGTCGACTGTGTATGTGCCATTGTTATTACTTGTAGTTGTTAGAGTACTGACTAATGAAGTGGTTGTGCTAGTGAATGTTACAGTGAATACCTCTGAAACAGATGCAGGTCTTAAGTTTCCAAACTAATCTCTAGCCTATATCAAGAATACAAGGTGATCTCCTGTGGTATAATTCTTTCTTGTTAAAGTGTGAGTGGTAGCTGTGGCAGAAGTTGTCGTAGCTGGATTCACTGTGAGGGTATATGGTGACTAATCAACGTTCAGTCCATTGAACTATAGGTATAGTTTATATGAACCAGCTAAGGTAGGAGTGAAAGAAACCTGAAATACTCCAGCTTACAAAGCTGAATCAATAATTGTGCCAGTAGATATTGAGACATTCAAAGAGTCTCTAATCTGAAGTTTATAGTCTGTGACAGCTACTGCAAGTAAAGTCTTGATGTTGTTAGAGTAGAAGTCTCTTCCTTGAATCTTAAAAGTTGATGTAACTCCTGCAGTCATAGTTGTAACAAGTTGATAAGTGAGGCAATTAGGTGCGTAGATATCATTAGGAGAAATATATAAGTAATCTGATGCAGATGAATATGGAGAGTTGATTACGTTAACTTGATTTATCTTAACATAAAGAGAGAACTTTCCAGCTCTGTAAATTGTTATCTAAGCATTGTAGGTTCCATCTTTGTTATCTGAGTAGATCCCCGATATATCCTTGCCATATATCTATTGCCAATTAGTCAGATCTGCAATTCCAAGTGGAGATACATATTGAGTGTTATCCTCATAAACTGCTATTATTGTGATATTTGTATCTTTGTACGATTCATATTGGAGATTTGAGTACATATCAAAGGTATTTATTTGAAAGAACTTAGTCATGCCAGCTACTGCTGAAATAGGAGCAATGCCAAGGTTGGTCTTTGATTTAGTTGCATCAATTTCTCCTGGGGAAACTACTACCACCCAGGGAGAATCCTTGATTGATTCACCTAGTAGTGTGATGCTTAGATCATAAGTGCCAGAGAGATAAGGTACATATTGAGCAAGATACAGACCATTAGATTGATAAACTCCAGTTACATAGAATTCTCCAGTTACTGTAAGATCAGGGCCTGCAAAGTATAGTTGATAGTTATCGTTCTTGTTGTCAATAATGCTTCCAACTGAATTTCTTGATTGAATATAAATGTATGAGAGTTTTCCAGCAATGGCTGAAACTAAACCATCTCCATAGGCTGTACACTGTGAAGCAATAGATGGACCAAAGTTAATGACAATATCATATGGACTGCTGGCAACTCTCACGGGAAAGTAAATATATACTGGAGAAATAATCTACTTTGGCTTTGAGAGAGATGTCCATGATAGACTGACATATGCTTGTTCTTAATATTCTTTGTATTCAAGCATTATGTCATAGTATTGGCCTTATACCATACTCTAAGTAGTTGTGACATCTTCACAACATAGGTCCCATCTGTCTATCAGCAATACTCCGTCTAGATAAAATCTAATTCCATCATCAGCATGGATGATGAAGGTAAATTCTTCAGTGGCAGGCGCTAAAACCTTGCCAAACCATCTTATACTGACAAAATCTGCTACATCATTTGTGATTAGTCCTTGACCCCAATCGAAGTTGATCTGGTTATCTATCCTAGTTATAGCTGGAGTGCCATCTAGAAAGGCATTATTGAAGTATTCTGCATAAAAGCCACCTTGGTTCATTACCATGACATCCACTGTAGCAAGTCCATCTCTTCTAACTTAGTAGGTAAGAGAATAGGTGCCATCTCCATTATCAGTCATGAGCCTCATTTAAGGAGGTTTGAGAATAGAAGTGGACAAGCTATTCTCTTGACAATAGTAGTTGCTATTTAATTGACATCTATCCTGAATATGAGCATAGTATATATCTCCTCCGAATGTTCTTGGAGCACCTGTCTCATCATAAGAAACTATGTTGATGACAGCGTCTACATTTGCTGCTATGACTGAAATTCCAATTCCTGATACTTATGTCCCTGTCTTTGAGACTTTCCTGGGCAAGACTAAAGTTAAAGGAGATGAATCTGGACTCTAGCCGACCCAATTAAAAGCTCTTACTACAAAATTATAGGTACCAAATGTGAGTGGAGCATTATTGAAAGAAGTGATATAGACCTATTTTGTGGCAGGGTCTTCCTTTCCATCGTAGACTAAAGTATAAGACCCTGAAGTTGATAGCTTCATGTAGAGCTAATATCCAAGAAGTGGACTTCCTCCATCTGAACTAGAAGGTAGCCAGTCTACAATAATCAGATCTTATTTCGCTATTTGAGAAGTAGGGGTAGCTGGTGAAAGTGGGGCACTGGCGCAAACGAAAGTTACTGGGTTACTCCATTCTGAAGTTTGCAAGGCGGTAGTTATATATCTCATCTAAATGAATAGCTATCTTCCATCATCTATAATCATGATGTTACATCAATAAGTGCTTACCTGTCCCACAATTTATCTCTGCTATATTCGTAGGATATGCGATGTTACTCAATGAGGTGATTACCCCAGCCTAAGGGAATATGAGATCAGAGTTAATGAATATATATTTACTTAATCAGTATATCTGATTTAAAATGTGGTCACTCCTGATATTTCATTAGCGTTCCACTGCATATTGATCTTGCTCGACACATAGCTTACCCATTTCGGTGGAGTGGGGGCTATAGGAACACCTAAATGACAAATTTATATCAAGAATCATGTCAATTTTAAGCAAAATAAAATAGCAAATCCATTTCATAATCTCACTGATCTCAATGGCGGATGAAAATGGAGATTAGAAGGACACTTACAATAAACAGTGTGCTAACATAAGAGTGAAAGTATAACTAAGAGAGCAAGGGTGAATGCTCTCTAGAAAGTATATTAAGTTTTTGTATGTAAATGCTTTATTCTGTGTGGTTTTTAGAATATCGACATTATAGAATAGTAAGTAATTATAATAATTTTAATTTAATTTAAGGAGTTGCCTCGAGAGCCTATACATCGGAAAATCTCGCAATTCTATTGGCTCTTATCTATGATAATAACTATATTTTAATTATTATAATTATGCATTCATAAATCTACCACTATATTTCATAGTCATGGGGTTTTGGGGTTTTGGGGTTTTGGGG